ATGGCCGGGCAAAATATCCAGAGGATTGTTGAGGGCCTCCAATGCAAATTTCTCCGCGTCTCCCGCAGTCAAGGATAGGCTTCTGATCTTCGTCTAGTAAGATGACTTTCATATCTCCCACGGGCTGTCCAATGCTGATACGTTCACGGCGAGTGTCTTTAAGTGTCACTTCAAACATAGTTGTCAGAGTAGTACACTCGGTAGGTCCGTATGTATTCCACAGATGCCGGGGAGGACGTGTTTCTAATACGCTCCTCATCGCCCGCACGTTGGCGACGTCACCCGCCGTGAGAACGTGACGTAGCGATTCGAACGCTCCAGGAGAGGCAAAGGCAATAGTCTCAAACAGCGCCGCAGTGATTATGATGATCGTTATACTTTGCTCCCTAAGGAACGTAGGGAGAGCATTAGGGTCTGTGACTACATGACGTGGAGTGACCACAATGGTTGCACCAGCAATCAGGGTTACCCAGATCTCGAAAAGGCTGAGGTCGGAGCCGGGACTATTGAATTGTGCCACTCGGTCTTCTGGAAAAAGTGGTGTCACTGGAGTCTTTGTGGCAAGATGCAATATGCTACTTGCTTGGACCTGAACCGGCTTCGGTTTCCCGGTTGAACCAGATGTAAAGAGTATGTGGCTCCGCTTGACCCGATGGCCAAACCCTAAATTGGGAACGACAGAGGTAGAATGCTTTTCGATATCACTGAAGTAGATATGATTGAATCCACGGAGCGTCAGGGTTCCAGGCATTTCCATAATGACATGTTTAGCTTGGACATCTTGTAACATGGACTTGATTCGACGCTCTGGAAAGGAGGGCTCAATCGGTACGCAGGTGCCTCCAGCCAGAAAGACAGCAAGTTGAGCAACGACTTGTAACCTCCCTGAATCGAGAAGAATTCCAACTGGTTCCTCCATGGATATCTCGACCTCTTTTCTCAGTGTCTGAGCTAATGCGTTCGACTTAGCAACCAGTTCACCGTACGTGAAGGTGAATGCTCCATCAATAATGGCGGTTGCACCTGGGGTTTGCTGAGCATGTGCAGAGATAATTCGTTCCATGGTTGCAAGGATAAGCGTTAAAGAGTATAGTTGAGTAAGAATTTGTCGAAATCTACTGATCAAGCAGCTAGATGATATAAAGGACCTGAGTAGGCAATATACTTATATAAAAAAGATCTGACAACTGATTGTTTTGTGCTCGCACCTCATCCAGAGCTTCTTAGTTGCTCTGCATCACTATGCCGTAAGGTGAAATGGAAAAGCAAGGCTATCCTACCAGCGTCTTGTTATCGTTTCTCACTGTCTTGATTCGGCTCTTGATGGTGTCACTATTCCTGCCAAGGTGGTGGCCAAGTATGTTTGAGTTTCTCAAAGTTATCATATCGAAGGCCACCATGTGGGTATCCAGTCTAACTAATCCTCGCATGCTTGGATTAGGAGGTCATAGACTTGTTGGGAATGCAAAAAACAGACGCGCATGACCTGAAACTTGTGGCGTGACAGGAAGTGAGCAGGGCCAAGTCGTGTGCAATTCTTAGTCCTTGCCTCTAGATACTACCTCCATCAACGTCAATATATGACATACCGCTACTGACCTTGCGCTAGCTGAGTGGGCTCATCCAAGCCTAGGTGCCAAACCTATCCTGCAGATCTAGTACACTTTCTTTGGGATCAACCGGTGACAATTTTCATGCCACAATGCAATGGACATGGTTGATGACCCTGGTATGACGTTGTGGAATTTAATCCTGAATGTATATTCGCAATTGACAAGGGGGGTGAAGAACTGTGGGGGCGCTTAGTTTAGTGTAGGAGCTGATTTGTCGGTTTCCTGTTCGAATCCTCCATATTGAGTTCCGAGAGCTGCATTGTGGGTTCACCAAACCACATAGAAAGCGCTCTTCCTTACGTTCACTGGATCGCTACATGAGCGATTGACGTCTAGACTTCATGTATTTCCAAGGATGCTTGATACACCTGATAGGGCCTTGGATATTGACACACTGGGCCCTGTGAGCACGGGCCCTGTGAGTAAAGTCACCTGGAGCCTGACGTTTCGACACGAGTAAAACTGAGCCTATTGTGTCGCTGACATGCTAGAGTGCCACATTATGAGGGTTGTCATTGATACTTGCCGCAGAAGATATGGCACGATCAGGTTTTGTGTCCCAAAACTCAGCAGGATGTGGCGCTATGAGTATACGCGATATCACTGAAGTTAAACGTACTGGAGAAATTGTAGTATGTGATGCAGTCCGGTAGTACTATATAAAGGTAGACAGGCTGCAGTGTCTCGGAAACATAGAAGCAGGACTCATCAAGAAAACAATATGAGTGTGGGGCTCGATATTCTCTGCCATAAGCTCCAGGCTGTGCTGGATAACCGCCGTGAAGAGGGTCGACTTATTGACCCTCCCTCTGCGGCTACTCTGGCTCAAATGACAGACTTTGGCTCTAACGACAGCCTCTCTCTGTCATCCTCCGGTGTTCTATCGACGGCACTTTTGCGCGAGCTTCTGAAACACCCTAATTTCACTGTCGGAAGCACCTCTTCACGTATCTTAGATGGCACCAAGCAGTATCTAGAGGACATTGAGCGTGACTTGGCTCAGTTCCACCGTGCTGAGTCGGCCATGTTCTTTAGCTCGGGATATGATGCCAATGTGGCCGTTTGGTCTGCAATCCCACAGCCTGGTGACTTTGTTGTTTATGACGAATACGTGCACGCAAGTATTCATGACGGCATGAGACGAGGCCGAGCCACGACTGTCCCATTTAAGCACAATGATTGTGAATCTCTTCGAGACTGCCTGAAGGACATCCAAGCTGGGCACTCTGCTGTTTCTGAAGGGGAACAGGTTGTCTTTATATCACTGGAATCGTTCTACAGCGTGGATGGCGACTTGGCTCCAGTTCAGGAGATGGTGAAAGTTGTCCGAGACACTATTCCGCAGGGCAATTATGTGCTTGCAATCGATGAGGCCCACTCCAATGGAGTTGTCGGACCAAACGGCTCGGGGTTCATCTGCCATTATGGGCTGGAAGCTGACTTTGGCATACGACTCCAGACGTGTGGGAAAGCGCTAGGCTCGACAGGAGGTAAGAATCATCGTTCCGTGCTTTGTCTCCATAGAGTCTAACGAGCGAAAATAGCGGTAGTGTTGGCCAACGAAACAATTAAATTCGCGCTTCTCAACTATGCTCGCAGCGTCATTTTCAGCACAGCTCCAAGCTTTCTTACCGTATCAGCCGTGAAGGCTGGCTATGATTTGCTAGCCAGTGAAGAAGGAGAAAGGGTTCGTTTAACCGTCTATGGCAAGGCTCTAACTGGCTAACTCTGTATCGTAGCGTCGATGCCGACTGCAGAGGAATTTGCAGTACTTCTACCAGATGCTGACGACAAGCGTTGAGTGGAAGCATGCAAAAGAAAAGGGTATTTTTAGTCTTCCGACCGAGAGGACCTGGCGATCACAGGCCTTCCTGGCCCCCATAGCTGCAATAGTGATGCAGCCAGGAAAGGCGAAGGAGTTGGCACAACATTTACACCAGGCCAAGTATTGGGTCAATACGGCAAACTTTCCCCTGGTGCCTAAGGACAAGAATCGAATTCGGATTGTCATACACGCTGACAATACCGAGAACGAGATCGAAGGCATTGTTCGCTTACTGAGAGAGTGGGCCCAAGGGCAACTGAGACTCAGTGAGAGAAAGTCAAGACCTGCCCGAATGTGAGGAGTTGTGCAAATTGAATGTTGAAAAAAGTTCCTTTTCATATTTTCCCATTTTCTGTATTCGTTTGTTATGTGTTTACCAAATTGCCACAATGGGATCAAACTGGGATTTAACGGATTTATCAAAGCCTATTCCATCTTCCAATGTAACCTGAAACTTGAGAGTTAAGCTTTGGAAGGACTGGAGGTTGAACGAGAGTTAAATTGAGGAATCAGCCTAGAGTTCTTAGTATATAGTATTCAGTATTCCTAACTATAGGAGGCGTGTCATGTGCTATTCATTTATCTCGTGACATTTAGATACTTAATTCATTCGCTTTTGCTACGAGACTGGTTGAGATTTGGATCTCATTGCTTACCACACCGGTCGACCTGGTGACTTAAAAGGGCTTTTGTAAGAAGGACCATAAACAAGCTCTTGTACTCGATAGTGGACTCAGGTCTAAAGCAACCATCTTAGTGTTGGTATACAAACTTGGCATGGCCAGAACGACCATGGCTTAGACTCTGCAGCAGATTGCATTTAGCCCAAATAACTTTCGCTGGGGAAATACTGAACTATGCGCACTTGTTTAAAGCATCTAGATTCTCCTATCTATAGTCACTTGCTATGTTATTGCTGGTAGATATGATGAGAAGAGCGTAATAGAAGCCGAAAAGCAAAAGACAGGAGAAGAACAAACAAAGAAGCAGTTCAAGTAAAGGCCCAGGAGCTTGCAATGACAGCAGCACGTAATAGGGTCACATCAAGGACACTCATAAATGTTATTTGCTTTGTTTGATATGGAGATCAAGACCCCGGAGACGTAGCTTCAAGTCCGAATTCAAGCAAGACACAATATCCTGATGGCAGTTGAAAGCTCGACCATTGCGGACCACTTCTGAATGCCACACTGGGAGGCTAAGATTACTCACTTTTGTCACAAGATCCCTGGCTTTTAACCCTACAAGAGGTGCTGTGCCGACTGGTGTGAGCAAACCGTTCGAATGCCTGTGTAACATCAAAGCACCAAGCATCATTGACCTGCACCCAACAGAGCAGCCACGCTTTCCTTCAAGGAGAGAACTTTGAAGGCTGTCCAGAGAGGAAAATATACACTGAATTGTCTTCAGTCTCGTTTTGTTGATGTCGTCTATAGGACCCATTAGTAGAAGTTTGTCAAGCAGTGATGTAACTGGTTTTACCAATGATCCTCTTGGGGATTGGTAAACCAAGCGAGGCAATTGAACCCGTAGATTGGCTTATAGAAATCTCTGTTGCCTTTTCAAAGAGGGCAGGTATTTTCCAAGCCCAAGATATCCACAACCATAACAGTATTTCTCGCGAGTATTGTGTTGGAAAGCTCTGCTCTAAAGAACTAATCCACGTATCAGCGAAGAATCGCAGGACATTGAAACATTGATAATAATCGACCAAAACGGTGACTTTTGCAAGTAATTCAAGGCTAAGCGTTCGAGGAATTTGGTCGTTCTTGCAATGACAAATTCTCAGCAGAATGAGAAGTGCCTCGAGATCCCAACCGTCCACGGTGATATTGACTGAGCCTGCAGTACGGAGTGCATGGCCCTCCTTCCAAGTTCCATCAAGGGCGCTTTTGAAAACTGGCGAGACGGAAGTGAGGTGGCTTGAAGAAACTAAGATACGGAATTCTGGGTTTTGTGGCGTCTTGCGCTTCTTTTTGGGGTTGGGTTCCTCACTGAAACTGCCAAAGTCTTTGTTTGCGTTCTGCAGGATGATCATTACATCTCCGTTTGGATCGATCACATGGGTTGCATTGCTCTCTGAATTCATTTTGGGAGATTTGAGTGATCTCTGGATATGGAAAAGAGAAATAAAGATTGATAAGTTGTGCCAGAGAATACGCTGCAAGTAGGCTGGCTGGTGTTTTACCGGGGTCTGAGCCAGTTCATGCGCCCAGGTGTTGTGTTTATACTGCTTTTCCTACCATAAATTCAATAAACTTATTAATTAGGAGTGAATAACTAGTTATTACGTTCTGTTTTGGTCTCAAGTGAGGTATACCGATGGCCTTTCTCTTTAATTCAGACTGAAACAGAGCATTCTTTCACTCTTGATACATCTTTAAGAGAATTGAACACGAGTGATTTCTAGATTGCCAAACTAATATGAAACTCAAACGTCACCACTATACGAGTTTCAATCGCACACTGAACCAAGATCTAATACTCGGGCTCGAGTAGCTCCCCAATTTGTATGCGCACTATGAGCGTGGGAGAAGTGTCTCCCTTTAAACAAGGAACTATTTTATACGCACATCAGTCGTCGAGATAAAGTTATAAAGATCGCAAAAGGAGTAAAATTCAACACCTAACTATTTTTTCAATCTGTCAACAGTTTCACGAAGAAGCAATAGCAAAGGCACAACAGAGATAGCCGTCCAAAAGCATTTAACATAACGCCACTCAAAAACAGCAAAGCCAGGGAAGCAAAGCCAAACAAGCAAAGTCAAGGAAGCAAAGCTAAAGAAGCAAAGTCAAGGAGGCATGTCCAATCTCACTGGTGAAAATACCTTCTTCCTGAAGTCAAGGCTTGATGAAAACACCCTCTTCCTTCCACCTGCCCTCCGTGAAGAACGCAGTGCCGATCGCTCCCTCGGGTTCAACCATCTTGTAGAACAAGATGATCTTGTTGCGGTACACCATGGCATTGATTCCAGCGTCTTCATAGACTCTCCTTACAACGTCAATAGTTTTGCCGTCGACGTAGTCCCGCAGTCTCATCTGATCATCGGCATAGAGAATGTGGTTCTTGCCTTCAAAGTGCACAGAAGCCAAGGGAGTCCTGACCATGACTCTGCTGCCCTCAAGCACTTTTCCCTTGTCTAGATAAGAGATAGATGATCAGCTTTGCTAGAAGTAAAGGTAATCTGGGGTTAGGGGAGGTGATAACTTACTTTCCCAGCGCCGGCGTTCGGCCTCATATCTCCACCACTTGATATTCTTGTCATGGTCCTGGTGATACAAGTCCACGTTCTCCCGAGTGACAATACATGCGAGATGCGTTCCGGGAAGCGAGAGAGGCTCGTCTGAGAGTACATGCTCCAGACGGAAATTACCCTTGTTATCCCGGCGAAGTTCAGTAATGGGCGACTTCCCCTGCTCCTCCCGGCTATTACCCTATCAGTGCTGTCATGATGCATCTTATGTGGCATAAAACCCACCTCGTGAAGAAAACCAGCTGGGTTACATGGGAGCTTTCCCGGTCGAGACCTCTCTGCGACACACCACTGGTGATCCGCGAGTGTTCTGCGGAATGGCCTGGAGGCTTGGGAGCGTCTTCCCACTTGTCCGAGGAAACCCGTCTGACCTTTTCAACCAAGTGTCCTTCTTTGTTGAGATAGATCATGTGAATCTATAGGTTGCTATTAGCAGAGCTACCTTTATCATAGTATCTCAGTGTACACATGCCGTGGAATGCTTGTCATAGTTCAGATCCTCTTTGACGTAGTAGGCAGTCAAAGGGGAACCGCCACTCTGCGCGTCTGCGGCGACTTGCACAGATGTCTGTGTTGGAGGACCACCTTCCTCGGAGAAGGCCTCGACAATGTAGCCGGACCTTTGGTAGAAGAGATACAGGCTCTTGTCATCGGTCGTCAGGCCGGCAAGATCGGTGCTGCCAAGAGAAGACATGATGATTGGGTCTGAATGAAGATATCCGCTGTTGATAGTGATATTGTATCAAGAGGGTATTGAGAAGACTCGAGAGAAGTTGGATATAGAATAATTAACGGGAATAGAGGATAACACCAGCTGATATATATAGCCATTGTTCTCTGAATTTGCTTACAGGGCATGATATGGCCGTGGAAAGTATACCCGAGCATACGTCAAAACGGAGTAAAAGACATGCTTGGAGTGGGCGCAAACATACGTCAACTATAGGGTGTGGAATTGCCTGGACACCCATATATGAAGCCAAATTTTAAGTTAGGGATCATAGATCTTTATATCACATACGTCAAGTGACAGGATGAGGAGATTGTTGGGTTGTCCCAACGGACAGAGGGAAAACGCCACATATTATAAATGATAGCTCAACGGAATGTAACTCAAAAGTCAAGAGGCACCATAGGCAAGGAATCTCTCTAAAGTTGGTAATTCGGGTACCTAGAGCACCGCCACTGGAGTTTGTCAAACTTTAGAGGATAAGGGCTAATGATCCTAAGTTGGTATATACAGTAACTTCCTCGCTCAACGTTGGCCATTGTAACTACTAGCAATATAGAAAATCTTTCGCAACTAATTCTGGTTCTGCTTAGTGTATGTATCTATTGGATCTTAACACACATGGTGAAGTCACTGTATCAATAAACAATTTCTGTACTCCATCCATTACCCCCACCAGCACAGACCCTCTCCCATCTCCTATATTTGTGGAGCTGCGGGGATTTGCGAGGCGATGTTGAGCACTGATACCTTGAAACAAGGGCGGTCCAGATCCTGAACCACCCTAAATGGTAGCTGGAACCACGGACCGTATCGTCCATGGCATATCCTGGCTCAACCATACATTATACGGGCCAAAATTATAGCATAAGAATGAAAAGTGAAAGGCTACCATCGGTTGCTATTCAGCAATATTCTCCCAATGGAGTAAATTCAGAGCTACATGCCAGCCTTTTAGCTAATGAATATTCACACAGCCAATGGCGGGTCCTGGGGTCGGATTGACCCAATTATTCTGATACTTTAAATATACAGCTGTGGGTAATCCTACTCTTGTTTATGCTCACCGCGGACACCCCTTCCTGGAAACATTTCCCCTCACGGTCTTCTGCAATCATGTAAGCCCCACGTACAGGCTTATGAACTACACTCCTAAAGGCCAGGAAGTATGTCCCGACAAGCGTTGGAGCCCTGTCGCCTAGGCATTCTGACCGGTTGCCATCGGGTAATATTGCACCATGAGTATATGACTTCAGTATAACGTAGCCTCCCGTCGGGAACATCGGTAGACGGTGACCAAGCTAGGGGGCGTGCCACCACAGATAGAATATTTTGTCAAAAGCAAGTGACAATGGAGAAACAAGTTATGATCTACCCTGACAAACTATGGCACTTCTACCTCAATGAACAGTACGCAGTCACAGGCACTGAGAGGGCGTTTCTAGTCAGCAGAAATGATGAGATATATCATAACAGAATCTGACTAGAAATATACTACTGACATAGGGAGTAGTCCGAGATGTTTTAGCACACTGGCACGATGAAAGACTGGGTATCAAATGAATTTTGCAACTTCTGAGGTCTTTAGTTGAGCTAAAAGTTCCGATAATCTAAATACATAAAAACAACTGACCGAGTCCTCCTCTTTGACATAACGACCCTGGTATAGATTTCTTTTATTTTCCATTTAAAGAGATTAGTAGGTAACACAAAAAATATCTCTGTAATTTAGAAATCTGATTGAGAGCGTATAAAATCAAACTCCTAAAGGGAGAGGTGTAGATCTGAGATAGCTGGTTCTTGAACCATCGGGTTATCTAACTAAAGATATTAATATTTCTGGATCCAACTGTTTATATATAGCGTGATTAAGTCATTGTAAAAGATATATATTCAAGAACCTCATTAACTTCTTGTGAAGCTCTTCTTCACCGTTCTACATACGACATATGTTCAGAATGAACTATGTATAGAGAAATCAGGATACAACACTGGCACACGCCTGTCAGTCAAAGTGGCCCTTCAAAGTTTAGCATTGAGGGCAGACCTTTTGTCCTCCTCGTCAAACCGCAGGACAAATGTTTCATCCGGGTTCTTCGGCCGGCCAAAACGTACAGTTGCCTCTCGACGAGTATGATCGTACATGATGTTGAACAAAGTGGATCCCCTGCTTTTGCCCTCCTCATATGCCCGACAGATGCTAAAGGGGTAATTGTCTTCATCCTCCCAGAGGCGAGAGAATGCTTCTTTGGTACCATCGAACCCATCGAGGAGATGCTCCATACGCTGATGGCGACTCCACGAGTCCGGTAGAGGATCGAGTTCTTTCGAATTTTCACCGTGGTTGAGCAAACAGTGGTTGGTGTGCACCAGCCTGCCCTTCGCGTCGAGCACCTGCTTTCGGAGGCTGATGGGGGAGAATTCCAGCCCGTATGCCTCTTGCCCGTTGCCGACCATGATAAAGGCGCTGGCGGCCATTCCACCTTGCTCCACGATCCGGTCATAGGCCTGGGAAGGGGAAGTGCTCTCAAGCGCCATGCGGAGGGCAAGATGCGAAGGAAGTCCAGAGGGCCGCAGGCCCTGAAGGTGAAGAGCATTGTAGTTGACGGCAACCCCCGCACTGTTAAATCCAACCTTGCCGATAATTCCAGCTTCCGTAATCATCTTAATGGTGGGTAGGCCGGGTTGGCGATGGTCAACTGGATCAGATTCTCTTTGGTGGCAGTAAAGAACTAGAACTCAGGAGAGAATGGAAATGTAAGTGTCAGCGCCAACTTCAACAGGATGAGATTGAGGGAGAGAAATGCCTTGACGTACATCCCAGTTCTGGCCCTGTAGCGCTCCATTGGCAAGCTTGCAATAGACGGTGGTGCAGCCATCACGGGCCTCGACGAGGCCATATGCAAATTCCGTGCGTGTATTGAGCATGACGATCTCGGAGACATCGCGTTCGGCGCCCTTTGCAATACCTTTGGTTTTTACGAGCCCCTGTCAGCAAGATACAGAAGAAAGTAGGACGACTGGAGCAACACTCACCGCGAATCTCCTCGTAATATCTGGGCCATCTCTTCTCAATCACACTTCCCAGCTCCGTCAGGATCTGCTTAAGCTCGTCTTCTGTTTTCTTGGTTTTCCCTCGGATAAGACCGACGGCGAATTTGAGGGATTTGGCGATAACAGCTTTGGCGGTTGAGCCATGTTGGTACCCAATCTGGACTAGGTTAGACCTTGACCGATGGTACAAAGAAATGCGACATGCAGTAAAGGGCCTACCTCGAAGGGGGTGCCTTGACAAGTAACTTGAAGCATGTTGGGTGTGGGCCGTCGTTTAGCAAACAGCTGAATTGGACAGAGATGAAAGACGTAGCCTTGGGGTTTGATTATCCCGGTGGGAAGGCACGCTGAGACATATTGATTTTTAATTAAATACTTTTCCTGGTCCACTTTACTATAACCAAGCCACAATATTGAATCGAGTGGGAAACATACTACCCGGGAGTAGTAGCATGAGGGTACATACTACGGGTAGTATGCCTTGGATGACCTTGCCTAAGATAGCCTTGCAAACATCGGTAGACTAAGATGGCCCCTGGCAAATTACCTTATCGCTTGGACCCAAACGCAGCCATTGGAACCAGGTGGAGTCCAACACGAGATATAAATCCACTTTCCACTACCCGCATGTTTAGCGTTCTGCAGACTTTGTTTAGGGTTGCATTCTGGCTATGCTCAACGCCAATCAGAGGCTGTTTAATTGCTCTCATTCCGTTATTCGACGCGGAGCGGACCTAGCATCTCGGCGTATGTAGAGCTGTGGAGGTCAATTCGGCAAACAAAAAGTCATCCACGTAGTGGCAAATGCCAAGGGAATGGCTTCGGCACACTGGAGCTGAAGAAAGCAATGTATTAGGTAACCTCTTGGCGGTATCATTTTACAAGACAAGAAGGACAGGCTGGCAGTTCACGGTCTTCTACTAGATGGGGCCATCGGCTGCAGCATAAACTATTTCGAACGAATACGAGAGATGTGCACATTTCTGCATTAGGGCAATCAATTTATGACTAGGTACCTTCGACTAGCCCTCCTGCTAGGTCTGGCCATTCTTGTTGATCAGACTAACCAAGCCGTTCTGCAGATACTGGCCGTAGGACACTGGCTCCTTCTCCGTCTTGCCGTCGGGGTGCCGAGGGTCCCACGGTTGGACCGTCTCGTCAAAGCCCAGATTGACAAAAAAGGAAGTGATTGGCGCTCCTCGTTCACCCATTTTACCCGGTGAATGGGGGCGGGGTAGTAGTTATTGGTGATGTGTGCCATGTAGCTGCCGCAGTTGATCAGGTAGCCGGCGTCGTCTGCCTCAATGTCAAGGTAACCTTGAGGAGTCTCCACTTGCAGGTTCTGCACGTTGGACTGGTACAGGACGGTGATGAGCGACACATCTTCATGCCATTCAAAACTCAATTTGGTGCCATCCGCTGCGGTCTTAATGGCGGCGGGCGGGTAGGGGTCTAAGAAGGGGTAACGGATAAGAACGACTGATGAGAGAGCGTCGTCCTTCTTGAAGTGGCGGCTGAAGAAGTCCTCCTCCTTGCCTAGTCCCAAAGCATAGCCTCGCAGCAAGGCTGTTGAGAGCCCGAACACATCCCAGTAGTACTGCTCGGCGAAGTCGCGGAAGCCGGGTGCTTCGTCTCGTCGGGCCACACGTTGACCTCGTGAGTAGGTGTCTTCGATTGGATGCGAGGGTGGTCGGTCTTGAAATTAGGATTCAGATAACAGAAGGATTCCACGGCCTTTTTGCCTGGAATAGACAAGTAGTACCCAGCCCGGATCTGGTCCTGGTGCTCCTTATTGTAGGCGCGAATAGCAAGGTCCCATTTTTCTTCATCTGTAATGGACATGTGGAATTCCTTGGTCTTTTGCGAGAGTCGATTCACATCGATTCCATGGTTGATCGCGTAGAAGAAACCGGTGTCGCGTGAGGCAGCATCAATCGCGCGCGCGACCTTCATCTTCTCCTCCATATTGTCACCAAACAAGGGTGACACATCGATCTTGGGGACATTAGCCTTGGGAGCAGAAGACATAGTGCGTAGAAAAAAGACAATAAGGTTCCAATGGTTACAGCAGTGACGAAGAGAGGTAGAGCGAGATGTAAAGAAGGTGAGTTTTGCTTCATAGAACCATGAGTGATGGGCACAGTCGTAAATAGGACATCTCTTCCTCTCCGCCTAAAAGAGCCACGGAGGGTGGTTTACGCTCAGCCCACCGCCAAACCGGACCCATAATCTGTTAGCCCGATAACGAGGTCAGAGAGTCTTTGCTGGTCTGGGTACTTAACCAATCTGCATCGCGGCATATGAAGACGGCACAACTAGACCAATCATCGATCATCCGACAGGCATCAATGCCTTAGTTTGAGGAATGCAGGTACTATAATAGAAACCGAGCCGGGGATGTTCGCGTAACACGACAGGGTCCCCGGTCGATAAGTCATGGTGGACCTGCCAAGCCTCAACGGCCAAAGAAAGGTATACACTGTGTATCCAAATCCCACCCAGAGACGATGTCCCGAGGTGTAACAGCCCGCATTCACATGTCCGCATCACTTTGGATCTGATCGTTGCGTGTTAGATTATTCTCATATTTGGTTCAAAGAAAGCGACCCAAGATCCATTGGAACAAAAGATGGACCCTTCTCACTCTGTGGTTCCTGCAATCAGAGCCGGCCGTAGTTCGGACTATGCGTCCCACCCTTTATGGCATGACGGCGCGGGGCTGTTCCTGTGGCGCCGTGTGACGATCTCCTGGTGCGACGTGGGGATACTTCACGGCAAAGGAGCAAATAGCATCTGGTGTGCTGTGGACCAGAATAGACGGGAATTCTCCATACTGTCTCGGGGGGACGTCTAAAGTAGCACAGCCGGTTTTTGTTGGAAATGGGCCAAGCAGAGAAGATACCTTCGCAGCGGGAGATGAGCGTGGCAAGCCCAATATAAAGTATTTCCTGTATGGCTCCTAAATCGTCAGTTATGGCGTCTTTTTAAACTACTTTTGTATCATTACGCTTGTCAACGACCAACATGACTCAATTGCAGCTGGGAAGCGAAACCAGTTCAGGATCGATAAGCTTATCGAGGACCATGGACTCCAGGGCCAATGAGGGTGAAAATGTTGACAGTGACATGGTTAAACCCAGCAATGGCGACATCAACCCTCACAATGGGAATGCGATGGGAGGCAGGATCCACATCCGTGTTCCCGGGGGTATCGAGCGATGGAAGGATTTAATGAGCCAGGTTACCGAGCGCTGCGACGTGAGTGGTCTAACAACCAATCCCACGAAATATCAGCTTGCATCGACGGGATTCGGTGACGCGAGCACTGTCTACCGGCAGCGCTTCATGACGGTGCCTAGTGAGGTACACTCCGCGTTGCAAGAGCTTTGTGTTGAACGCCGTGTCAGCGTAAGATCCGTTATTCTTTTCGCCATACACCAGATGTTAAAAGGGTTTGGTAATGGATCACAAACTATTACCGCCTCTCTACACCTTGAGGAGAATCCCCAAGATTCTCAGCTATCATGGGCGGTGTCACCTACATTTGTCAGCCATGAGAACAGAGAGGAATGCTCCGTGGCGCAAGCCGTTGAGGGTATTGAAGCGGTGCGCAGTTCGAAGAACCCGTTCACACACACAATCGACAAAGCGTCAGATCTCGTGGACTTGGGGTTGTTTGACTTACTCGTCATCTTTGCCGACGCAGACGGTGCTCCTCTTCCATTATTTGATTTCCCCTTAGCGGTGATGGTGGATGAGGGTGAAACAGGACTCCAGCTGACTCTGCGCTTCTCCGACTGTCTTTTCGATGAGGAGACAATATGTAATTTCACAGATGCCCTTAACATCTTGCTCGCTAAAGCAGCGACAGGAGGAGCGACACTAGTTAGTGATATCGAACTACTGTCATTAGAGCAACAGCAGCAGCTGGAGGAATGGAACAACACGGACGGCGAATACCCAGCATCCAAGCGGCTGCATCATCTAATTGAAGAGGGGGCTCAGCGCCACGAAGACAAGGTGGCCGTGGTTTGCGAGGAGCGAAAGATCACCTACGGCGAGCTTAACACCCAGGCAAACCGTCTCGCACGCTATCTTCACTCAACAGGCATCCAGCCAGAGCAGATTGTCGCATTGTTCCTCGATAAGAGCGAAAAGCTTATTGTTACCATTCTGGGTGTCTGGAAGTCTGGCGCAGCCTACGTGCCCATTGACCCGACGTATCCAGATGAGAGAGTTCGATTTGTGCTGGATGACACCGAGGCACAGGTCATCATCACCAGTAATCGACATGCCGAGAGGCTTGAGCGACAGATCGTCGGCGACAGAAAACTTCGCATTATTCCTCTGGAGCCATTGCTCGAATCACTTGGTCAGGATACCTCGAGCATTCCAACGCACAACTTGGATGAGCTATGTCTCACGAGCAGGCAACTAGCCTACGTGACTTATACCTCTGGAACCACGGGGTTCCCAAAAGGTATCTTCAAACAACACACGAACGTGGTCAACAGTATCACCGACCTGTCCGCCCGTTATGGGGTGACCGGGCAACACCACGAAGCAATTCTGCTGTTCTCAGCCTACGTGTTCGAGCCATTCGTTCGCCAAATGCTCATGGCGTTAGTAAACGGCCATCTCCTCGCCATTATCAATGATGCGGAAAAATATGACGCGGACAAAATCCTTCCCTTCATTCGCAGACACAACATTACCTACCTCAATGGTACTGCCTCTGTTCTACAAGAATACGACTTCACTGACTGCCCGTCCCTGAAGCGAATGATTCTGGTGGGTGAAAACTTAACAGAAGCACGGTATCTGGCTCTGCGCAAGCGATTCAAGAACCGCATTCTGAATGAGTATGGATTCACCGAATCAGCCTTCGTAACAGCCCTCAAGGTCTTTGAGCCCCAGTCAACTCGCAAAGACACGAGTTTGGGAAGACCTGTGCGCAACGTCAAGTGCTACATCCTTAATCCTGCTCTCAAGCGTGTTCCCATTGGGGCCACAGGCGAGTTGCACATCGGAGGGCTGGGTATTTCAAAAGGATACCTCAACCGTCCTGATCTCACACCGACGCGGTTCATCCCCAATCCCTTCCAGACGAAGCACGAGAAGCAGCTCGGAGTCAACAGCCTAATGTATAAGACTGGAGACCTGGCCCGCTGGCTTCCGAACGGCGAGGTTGAATATCTGGGACGCGCAGATTTCCAGATCAAGTTGCGTGGCATCCGAATTGAGCCCGGTGAGATTGAGGCGACGTTGGCTCAGTACCCTGGCGTCCGGACAAGTTTGGTAGTGTCCAAGAAGCTCCAGAAAGGCAATGAGGAAACCACGAACGAGCACCTCGTGGGTTACTATGTCTGTGACAACGCCTCGGTATCCGAGACGGACTTGCTGTCTTTCTTGGAAAAGAAACTACCTCGATACATGATCCCGACGCGGCTGGTACAGCTGTCGCAGATCCCAGTGAACGTGAATGGAAAGGCGGACCTGCGAGCCCTGCCAGCAGTCGATATTTCCAAATCCTCCGAGATTCGTTCTGATCTCCAAGGCGACATGGAATCTGCCCTTGGAGAAATCTGGGTCGACGTATTGGAAGCCCGCCCCGGATCGATCTCTCGCAGCGACAACTTCTTCCGTCTCGGAGGGCACAGCATTACCTGCATCCAACTCATTGCACGCATCCGAGAGCGGCTCTCGATAATTATCTCTGTAGAGGATGTCTTCGCAACAAGGACACTGGAGTGCATGGCAGACTTTTTGCAGAGCAAACAACAGGAAGCATCTGATGGGCGCTGTGGGAGCGAGTCTGCAGCGCAGTCAACGGCACTGGAGGGAGATGCAGCCACCAATAATGTTTATAGGGCAAACAGTCTTCAGCAGGGATTTGTATATCATTATCTTAAAAATACGGAACAGTCCGATGCATATATAATGCAGTCTGTCCTGCGATATAATATCAAGTTGTCGCCAGACCTGTTCCAGAGAGCCTGGAAGCACACTCAACAGGCCTATCCGGCATTGAGGCTTCGTTTCAAGTGGGCAAAGGAAGTTTCACAAGTGATAGATCAGAATCAGCTGTTGGACTGGCGTTTCTTCTACTTTGACGATGTGCCTACGGGTGCTGTTGAGGATCAGAAATTGGTCGACTTGCAGCGCCAGGACCGCGAGGAGTCATACAAACTGGATGCCGGTAGGCTATTCCGCATCTATCTGATACAACACAGCGAGAATCGTTTCACATGTCTCTTTAGCTGTCACCATGCGATCCTTGATGGTTGGAGTCTGCCGCTTCTGTTCGAGAAGGTCCATGAAACTTACTTGCAACTGCTTCATGGGTACAATCTTGGCCCGCTCGCGGATGACCCTTACGCTCGCACTCAAAGGTATCTCCAAGCGCACCGTGAGGACCATCTCGATTATTGGGCCGGGGTGGTTGAGCAGATCGCCGAGCGGTGCGATATGAATGCCTTGTTGAATGAGCGTAGTCGTTACAAAGTCCAACTGGCGGACTATGACCAGGTACAGGACCAGAAACAGCTGACAGTGGCAATCGCTGGAGATGAATGGCTAGGGCAGCTCCGTCAGACCTGCTCCACCCAAGGCATTACCTTACATTCGATCCTCCAGTTTGTTTGGCACGCAGTGCTTCATGCTTATGGAGGCGGCAGCCATACCATCACTGGCACAACCATCTCCGGAAGAAATCTGCCCATTAGCGGGATTGAACGATCCGTTGGGCTTTATATTAATACGCTGCCACTGGTAATCGATCATTCAGCATACAAAGACAAGACTATCATGGAGGCCATCGAGGATGTGCAGGCTAAAGTAAACGCGATGAACAGCCGCGGAAATGCGGAACTGGGCAATCTTCGCAAAAACGACTTGAAGCATGGATTATTCGACTCATTATTCGTGCTGGAGAACTACCCGAACCTGGACAAGTCACGGGTTCTACAGCACCAAAGCCAACTGCGATATTCAATCCAGGGAGGTACTGAGAAGTTGGACTACCCGCTGGCTGTCATCGCGCGAGAAGTGGAGGCAACTGGCGGAATCACTCTCTCTATCTGCTACGCCAGTGAGTTGTTTGAGGAGGTGACCATTTCCGAGCTACTTCGTATGATCCAGGACACTTTGATGCGGGTTGCGCGAGGCTTGAATGAACCTGTACGCAGCCTAGAGTACCTCTCATCTGCCCAACTGGAGCATCTCGCCACGTGGAATGCTACGGAAGCGGAGTTTCCCAACACCACGCTGCATGAAATGTTCGAGATGGAAGCGAACCAGAAGCCCGAGAAAACAGCGGTCATCTATGAGGAGCAGGCCTTAACCTATCGCGAGTTGAATGAGCGGGCGAACCGCATGGCACATCAACTAAGATCTGACGTCAGTCCGAAGCCCAACGAAGTCATCGCCCTCATAATGGACAAGAGCGAGCATATGTTCGTCAGCATCTTGGCTGTGTGGAAGAGTGGAGGTGCATATGTTCCCATTGACCCTGGATATCCTGACGACCGTATCCAATATATTATTCAGGACACCCGGGCCATCGCTGTCATTGCGGACTCTTGCTATCTGCCTCGCATCAAAGGAATGGTAGCATCAGAAACACTTCTTTATCCCTCTGACTTGACAGCCACACCAGATCCAAAGTACGGTGCAGCAAACCCTTCACCGTTGAGTCGGAGCACAGACCTAGCCTATATCATCTATACATCTGGTACGACAGGCCGGCCCAAGGGCGTCGCATTGGAGCATCATGGAGTGGTAAATCTGCAGGTGTCGCTGTCTAAGATATTCGGCTTGCGGAGTACAGACGATGAGGTGATACTCTCTTTTTCAAACTACGTATTCGACCATTTTGTGGAGCAGATGACTGACGCACTTCTCAACGGCCAAACTCTACTGGTGCTCAATGATGAAATGCGTGGAGACAAAGACCGACTCTATCAATACATTGAGAAGAACCGAGTGACCTACCTATCTGGTACCCCATCTGTGGTATCAATGTACGAGTTCGGCCGGTTTAAGAACCACCTCCGCCGTGTAGACTGCGTTGGAGAGGCGTTCAGCGAACCGGTCTTCGACAAGATCCGCGAAACTTTCCATGGCCTCGTCATCAACGGCTACGGTCCGACGGAGGTCTCCATCACCACCCATAAACGCCTCTATCCGTTCCCAGAGCGGCGCACTGACAAGAGTATCGGTCAACAGGTCCATAATAGCACAAGTTATGTGCTGAACGAGGACATGAAGCGCGTTCCTATCGGGGCTGTCGGCGAGCTCTACCTAGGAGGTCAAGGTGTGGCACGAGGTTATCACAATCGCCCAGATGTGACCGCGGAGCGATTCATACCCAATCCATTCCAGACAGAGGAGGAAAGGATATCAGGCCGCAACTCCCGCCTCTACAAGACAGGCGATTTGGTACGCTGGATCCCAGGGAGCAACGGGGAGATTGAGTACCTGGGCCGCAATGACTTCCAAGTTAAGATTCGCGGATTGCGCATTGAACTGGGTGAAATCGAGGCGATCCTATCGTCATATCCTGAGATCAAACAGTCCGTGGTGATTGCAAAGGACCGCAAGGAAGGAGGACAAAAATTCCTCGTTGGCTACTACGTTGCTGATGCAACACTGTCATCTGCCGCTATTCGGCGGTTCATGCAGTCTCGATTGCCTGGCTACATGGTACCATCTCGCCTCATACCAATCAGCAAACTCCCCGTCTCTCCCAGTGGAAAGTTGGACACCAAGGCCTTGCCCCCCGCCGAAGAAGAGAGCGAGATCGACGTGGTGGCGCCGCGCAATGAAGTCGAACGCACCCTGTGTGACATCTGGGCAGAGCTCCTTGAGGTCCGCCCAGAGGAGATTGGAATTTACAGCGATTTCTTCAGTCTGGGAGGCGACAGTCTGAAGAGCACGAAACTCTCTTTTATGGTTCATGAGGCCTTTAACCGCGCAATCTCAGTCAGCAATCTTTTCCGTCACCGAACAATTGAGAACCTGGCACACCTGATCGTAAACAACGCCGCGGATGTGAATGAAATCACCCCTCTAGAATACAATGAGAGGCAGATGATTCCCGTTTCCAGCGCCCAAGAGCGGCTTCTCTTCATTCACGAGTTTGAGAATGGCAGCAATGCGTACAACATCGACACCGCTTATAAGTTTCCTGGCTCGGTTGATGCCTCATATCTTGAGCAGGCGCTGCGTGGAATCCTTGCTCGTCACGAGGCGTTGAGAACATTGCTGGTCAAGGACGACAAAACCGGCACCTATCTCCAGAGGATATTGAGCCCCGATAGCGCCCAGCGCATGTTTTCCATCAAGGTGGGCATAATCAAAGCCATGGAGCAATTGGAGCAAGAAATGGCCACTCTATCCCAGCACGTTTTCCGCCTGGGTGATGAACTGCCTTGGCAGGCCCGTATTCTTAGGCACGAATCAGGCAACTTATATCTCATTGTGACGTTCCACCATACCAGCTTCGATGCATGGTCGTTAAGTGTCTTTGAGCGAGAACTTCAAGCCTTGTACGCGCTCCTCCACAAAACAAACAGTGCAGCAACCTTGCCCACTCTAAAGGTCCAGTACAAGGATTATGCCCAGTACCATCGCCGGCAGCTTTCAGGCAATCACAGTAGCTTATCCGACTTCTGGTTGCAAAAGCTCAGTGGGTTGGAGTCGTTACAGTTAATCCCGGACCGTCCACGACCGGGGCGTTTTAACTATGATGGCGACGATCTCAGTTTTGAACTGAGTCAAAATGAAACACAAAGCCTGAGAGAGGTTGCCAAAAACTGCAAGTCCAGTCTGTATGTCGTCCTGCTATCCGCCTATTACGTGATGCTTGCATCGTACGCGAGCCAGACAGATATCGCAGTGGGTATCCCAATTAGCCACCGAACACATCCGCAATTCCAGTCCATCATTGGATTCTTCGTCAACCTCGTCGTGCTTAGGGTGGATGTGTCTCAGTCCGGCATTCGCGATCTCATCGGAAGGGTCATGAAGGAGCTTGTGCAAGCACAGCTACACCAAGACATGCCGTTCCAGGAGGTCACGAAGCTGTTGCAGGTGGCTAATGATTCTAGCCGGCATCCGTTGGTACAAACCGTTTTCAACTTCGAAGCCCGTCCAGATCAAGAGCATGATGCTGGATCACAAGGTGAGGGCGTATTGCAATTTACTCAGCACCACCCGGTTCAGCCCCTCGCTTCAGTTGCGAAGTTCGATTTGAATGCAACGATCACCGAACTGGATTCGGGATTGAGGGTCACCTTCAACTACGCCACCAGCCTGTTCAACAAGACCACGATTGAGGGCCTCTTGCATACCTACGAATACCTCATTCACCAGTTATCGAAGCTAAGTGCAGAAGGAATCAAGGATGATACGCAGTTGTTGTTGGCTCGTCCGCAAGAGAATGGCGATGCACACCTACCATTGGCGCAGTCCCCGCTTGTAATGCCTGCTGAGAATCAGAAAGCAGCGTCGCTAAGCCAGGCCTTCCAGCACGAAGTTTCACTGGCCTCGGAGAAGATTGCTGTCATTCAAGGAGATAGAGCACTCAGCTATGCCGATCTGAACAAACGGGCTAACCAGTTATCACGATATATACAATCCGTCTCCTCCATTGGAGTTGAAGGCCGAGTAGCCCTGATGCTGGACAAGAGCATCGAGACAATTGTTTGCATTCTGGCGATATGGAAGGCTGGTGCAGCATATGTGCCGTTGGATCCAACCTACCCGAAGGAGCGCGTCCAGTTAATACTGGAGGAGACCCAGGCGAAGACTATTCTTGTGAACTCCCATCATGCCGTTAAATGTGAATACATGGGCGCAAAGGTGATATCAATCGACTCGGTCCCCGTCACGACCGAGGTCAGTCAACAGTTGCCCGTTGACCTGCCTGCCATTGCCGGGCTAGACAATCTGGCGTATATAATCTTTACTTCCGGCACTTCCGGCAAGCCCAAGGGCGTTCTAGTGGAGCAAAAAGGTGTTCTATTGTTGCGTGATGCCCTCAGGGAACGGTATTTCGGCAATGGCTGCGCCAAGCATCATTCAGTACTTTTCCTTTCTAATTATGTCTTCGATTTCTCTGTCGAACAAATCCTATTATCGGTGCTAAGCGGACACAAGTTGATCATCCCCCCAGCAGAGTTCGTCGTCGATGAAGGGTTCTATAAGATGGCCAACACTCACGGTCTCTCGTATCTAAGTGGAACTCCATCCTTGCTGCAACAGATCGATATGGCACAACTACACCACCTGCAGGTCGTCACTGCAGCAGGTGAGATGTTTCATGCCACGCAATACGAGAAGATGCGCCGCAGATTTGGCGGTACGATCTACAATGCTTATGGTATCACCGAGACCACGGTTTACAACATTATCACGGAATTCACTGCAAATTCGAGTTTTGAGAATGCTATACGCGACGTGCTTCCCGGCACCCGAGCGTATTTGCTCAATAAGGCGCTTCAGCCCGTCCCGGTCGATGCAGTCGGAGAGCTCTACCTGGCTGGCGATTGCGTGACACGTGGTTATCTCAACGAACCTCTTCTAACAGATCAGCGGTTCCTTCCCAACCCTTTCCGGAGCGAGGAGGATGTCGCCGCTAGTCGTTTCTCACGACTCTACAAGACCGGTGACTTGTTTCGATGCCGGGTTAGCCATCAACAGCAGCCACAACTCGAATACCTAGGAAGAGGCGATCTGCAGGTCAAGATGAGAGGGTACCGTATCGAGCTCTCTGAAGTGCAGAACGTTCTTGCCTCTAGTCCTGGTGTTCGGGAGTGTGTCATCGTCGCCAAATATGACCAGGAGGATACCTATTCACGGATCGCGCAGTCCCTAGTCGGCTACTATACCGCTGACAATGAAACAGTGCTGGAAACTAACATCCTCGCATGCATGAAAGCGAGGCTTCCAGCATACATGGTGCCCAGCCATCTCTGTCGTCTGGAAGGTGCACTTCCTGTGACTATTAACGGAAAGCTTGACATCAAGGGACTGCCTGAAATTGACAACGCCTCGGGGCTGTTATCATACAGTCCGCCAAGGAACATACTAGAGTCTAAAGTATGTAAGTTGTGGGCATCAGTGCTGGGTGTAGAACGATGCGGAATCGACGATGACCTGTTCAAACTAGGTGGTGACAGCATTATGTCATTGCACCTTGTGGCCCAAATTCACAATCAGGTCGGTCGGAAGGTCACTGTTCGAGACATCTTTGAGTACCGTACCATTCGAGCACTCCATGACCACGTCTTCATGAGGGACACAGATCCGGACTCTGTCACCCAGTTCCGTAGTGAGCAGGGGCTGGTAGTTGGCGAGGCGCCCTTACTGCCGATTCAGAACTGGTTCCTGTCCAAGCCACTGCAGCATTTGAGTTATTGGAATCATACCTTCTATCTCCGAACTCCAGAGCTGGATATTCCTTGCCTGAGAACTGCCATCAACGAATTACAGCAGTATCACGATGCTTTCCGTATGCGACTGAATCGCAAGGACAATAGATTTGTACAGTCTTTTGCCGAGGGCGCTTCTCCTGTCCAGCTACGGGTACTAAACACAAAGGATGTTGATGGACCTACAGCAGTTAACCAGGTACTGCGCGAGTGGCAGTCAGGCTTTGACCTCGAGGATGGCCCGATCTGCGCCATTGGCTACCTGTATGGGTACGAAGACCGATCTGCGCGAGTATGGTTCTCCATCCATCACTTCGCCGTCGACACTGTTAGCTGGCAGATCCTGGCTCGTGACTTACAGATGCTCTACCAGAACGGAAGCCTAGGGTGCAAGGGCAGCAGTATCCGGCAGTGGTCTGAAGCAATACAAAGTTACCAGGCATCAGCGTCTGAAATAGAGTACTGGAACGAACTCATTGCACAAACGGCTTCCAGCACCTCTGCGCTTCCGGCATCGACCGGGTCACGTATGCATCTGACAAGGAGTTTGAGCACTGAGAAGACAGCTTTGCTGCTCCAAAGCGGCAGCAATCGGCAAGATATCTCCGTGTACGACTCTCTACTAACTGCTGTTGGATTGGCACTCCAAAATATCTCTTCAACGGGCCCAAATATGGTCACCATCGAGGGGCATGGTCGCGAGGAAGATGTTGACCAGACACTGGATGTCAGCCGCACCATGGGTTGGTTCACCAGTATGTATCCATTTGAGATCCCCCGTCTCAATACCGAGACCCTGGTTCATGGAGTAGCCGCTGTAAATGAACGGCTCAGGCAGGTCCCTGCTAGAGGCGTCGGGTATGGAGCATTGTACGGCTATAGTCGACACCCTTTGCCTCAGATTACTGTCAACTATCTGGGAAATCTGTCTCGCAAGCAATCAAACCCCCACGAATGGGTAATCGCCGTGGGCGACAATAATCTCGAGTATGGACTCACGACAAGCCCAGAAGACAAGGATAAGAGTTCCTCCGCCGTCGATATCACAGCTGTGTGTATCGATGGCACTATCATAGTTGACATGGACAGTGCTTGGGGCCTTGAGGAGAGTGAAAAATTCATCTCAAACATCGAAGAAGGATTGAACAAGATCATCGGGGCCGTAACAAAACAACAATCCTCTTCACCCCCAGCGAATCCTCAATTAACTGAGGAGACGTACACGCCATATTTCGAGTATCTGGAGCCGTTACGACAGGGTCCAACGCTGTTCCTGCTGCCCCCGGGAGAAGGAGGTGCCGAAAGCTACTTCAACAACATCGTCAAACACCTACCCGCGACAAATATGGTTGCCTTTAACAATTACTACTTGCACAGCAAACGCTTGGGCACGTTCGAGGAGCTGGCGAGTATGTATCTTGAGCATGTACGCAGCATTCAACCACACGGGCCGTACCACTTCATTGGGTGGAGTTTTGGAGGAATTCTCGCAATGGAGATGTCCCGGAGGCTGGCGGGATTGGGCGAAAAGATTGGCCTCCTTGGAATTATCGACACCTACTTCAATGTACACGGAGCGACACACAGCATTGGCTTGGGAGACGCCAAGATCCTCGACCCTATCCACCACATCTACCGCCCCGATCCAGCAAATTTCGAAGGTCTCCCATCTGCGACGGACCACATAGTGCTGTTCAAGGCCATGGAAACGAACGATCAGTATGAATCGGAGAGTCAGCGTCGCCTGTATGAGTACTACGACGGAACACCCCTCAACGACCTGGATACGTTGCTGCCAAGCGATACCGCCGTTCAACTAGTCCCGCTTACCGGCGATACTCACTTTTCTTGGGCCAGAAACCCACCGCAGGTAGACCGGATGTGCGCGGCCATCAAGGAATATCTCTCTGGTTATTAGCCCATAAGTAGGTGTGTCAGCGATGGTCGAAGTGATGAAGTAAACTTATGAAAGAAACGATACATGATAGAATCGTGTCAGGTTGGATCTGGTGCATACACAAAGAAGTGGCAACGGCTTGCTATGAGGGGGATGGCCTGTGCTTCTATATCAAGTCCGATGGATGAAGATTGTTATAGGAATAAAAGCTAGACCAGGGATTAAGTAGGAGGAGTGTCGATATTGGAAAAATAGCAGAGGGCTACGGTTTAGGAAGGTGCATATTCCGGGAATCCGTGATAAGATAAGCGGTTCACTGCCATGTGCCTCCCATGACATCATCCAAATTGTTATTATCAATAAAATGCCTTCTTCTCCAATGTCTATCCACAGCTCCACTACCAAGTAACATACGAATGGTGCTATAGTAGCCCTGCATCATCATGATGCAACCGGCCGGTCACTGCTCGAAATGTAAGAGGGTCAAACTCAGGATAAATACACGCCGTTCCATCGCCAAGATGTCAATCATAAATTCGAGAACCCACTACGTTCAATCACTATCAATAAATACAATTCCAGTATCACGATCATGACACATAAGCACGGGAAACATACTCCTCGTCTTCACAGGTACGGCTTTCCTTCAATCTTGTCCCTTAGACCTCCCAATCTAACAAAACCAGGCTCGGAAAATGGATGCCCTCCACCCTGGACAGCCACCACGAATGGCTAGGCGGGCTAATTGCTCACGTCGACAGCAAAGCCGACCACGAGCTTCACCCAGTGATGACGGAATTCCAGCACCTCATTGAAAGCAACACACGGATCTACCTCCTTATAGAAGCTATGTTCACCGAGGTCCCCCGTAACAGAGTCTACGCAACAGACCCTACCGGATGTCCCCAGATCCGAGACTACAAACATATGATCCAGGTCCTGAACCATCTCCTCACGACGGCGCCCTCATGGAGTGACTTTACGCATCGCGTCGGTCTCGTCGGGCTACCCATTAACGCAGTGCTGGACTGGCCCATGGGCACACCCAGCGGGTACGCTGCGTTCCTAGATCCAGAGATCAATGCTATGATCAAAAAGGTACTAAACGCCTGGGGCGAGTACCTGCAGTCTCCTGAGTCGGCGCAGGTGCTAGATGACTCGCAATACGGATGGTTCGGTGAAACGGGGAAGAATAACCTCGTCACAGTCGCCAATGTAGGACAGACGAACTACTCCTTCGAGGATACGTTTATCTGTGACCCCTCTCAGAAATACCACGGGTATAAATCATGGGATGATTTCTTTACTCGGGTCTTCAGACCTGGTATTCGCCCTGTTGCATCGCCAAACGACGACAACGTAATAGCCAACGCCTGCGAGTCGCAGCCCTACAAGGTCGCTCGTAACGTCAAGGGTAGAGACGTCTTCTGGATAAAGAGCCAGCCATATTCAGTCTTTGATATGCTGGCGCATGATTCCCTTGCTGAACAATTCGTGGGCGGAACTATCTATCAGGCTTTCCTCAGCGCGCTGAGCTATCACCGCTGGCATGCACCTGTCAGTGGCAAGATTGTGAAAGCCTATGTTGTTGACGGGACGTATTACTCCGAGCCGCTATTCGAAGGTCTAGGAGATCCACATCCCCATGATATTGATTCTGTTGGGGAAGTCACGGCCCAGGAGTACATTACGGCGGTTGCTACGAGGGCATTGATTTTTATCGAAAGTGACAATCCTGCAATTGGACTAATGGCTTTTCTCGGTATTGGAATGTGCGAGGTTTCGACTTGCCACATCACCGTCTCTGAAGGTCAGCATGTGAACAAAGGAGATGAGATTGGAATGTTTCATTTCGGTGGGTCAACACATTGTCTGCTGTTCCGGAAGGGTGTCAATGTCAATGAATTTCCATCTACGGAGACGAACCAAAACGTCCCAGTTAAAGGTCAGGTTGCTGTTGTGACACCTTGAAGCCTTGAGCTAAACTCTTCTTCTGGCATGTACATATATAAGGAGATAAAAGTAGGCCCAGAACTATGCATCGTGTAATTTCATCATCATCATCATCATGACCGCGTATATCCTACAACGTATACTTGAACAAAGGTGACCTGTCACCCATGTTCAACAACTGCTCCTCCGTATATTTTTCCCTTACTTCCGACTCCGACAGCTTCGATCTCCTCTTGTTCTCCCACCAGAACGAAGCTTCCAATATCAACGCAAGGATCAATGCTGAGCCTCCAAACGCAATGGAAAGCCCAAAGCCAGTATAGTACTTCGGCTTCTCGTCGTCCATATACATATAACTTCCGATAATACCACCAATATTACCAACGCAGATATTGAACGCCACACCAATTGCGCGTCGGTTGGACGGAGTCAAATTGTTAGACGTCCAAGAAGTGGTGGCCGGGTGGACAGGGTAGAGACCAATCATAGCCAGAATGACAGCAAAGAAGCTAGGACCGACATTTTCTTCCAACTTGCCATCGAAGGAAATGATAATGCCGTATCCGACCGTCAGCAGGGCGAGAGGAATCACGACAAATGGCATTCGCCAGTAGAACCGATCCGACAGCCTGGAGAAGCAGACGGCAGAAATGGCACCGGCGACATAGGGAGGAACCGTCATGAGCTGGGCGCTGGTGCTGCTGAAACCCATGGCTTCGGTTATACTGGGAAGGGTAAATTTGTTGCCTGGTCTTCCGTCAGTATATTGGTCAGTCAAAATGCTAAGGAAACATACCGTATGAACAGGCGGACTGGCATAGCAAAATATATGCTAAGATATACATTCGCCAATTTGACATCACTGAAACAAAATCCTTCCATCGAGACCGTCGTTGCTGGTCATGTTCCTCTTCTTTGAACTGTCCTCCTTCCTTAATGAATTTCTGTAGCTCGAGGAAGCGAATTTCGTCTGGTTCTAACCATCGACCGGATAGCGAAGGTGAGTCAATCAGCAACCAGAAACAGGCCACACCCAGCACCACGGTAACCAAGCCCTCAAGGATGAAGATCCATCTCCAGCCTTCATATCCACCCACGCCGTCCATCTTCGCGATGGCCGCCGCGAGTAGTCCTGAGAACGCGCCAGACAGGGCACTAGCACAGTAGAAATAGGCAAGACGGGTAGACAAGTCTTTCGGCATGTACCACTGGGTACAGAGGTAGACCGCCCCGGGAAAGAAACCTGCCCTGTTTGAAGTCAGCCCATGAATTTGGTCCAATGGTCTGTAGGCCGCAGGCATACTCAAAAACGCCAAGAAGAACACGGGTCACCATCAATCCGGCAAAATTCTGGACGACCCCGGTCAAGGTCATGATGATCCCCCAGGAAACGATTAAGATTCCCAGATACACAGATGGCCGAGAAAATGTTTTGAGCAGCATGTTACTAGGTACCTCTGTCTGAAATTAGATCGGCCGTCTGCAAGGAGAACTAACGGAAACTCACCAAGGAGGACATATGGGACAAAGAATATGCTCAATATAATATTCCATTGAATACCATCGAGATTCAGATCCTCCATCATGCCTTCGATCTTTGCATTTCCGATGTTTGCTCGATCAAGATGGGATATCAGATACAACACTGCCAGCATCGGCACGAGACGAATATCGACCTGGACAGTGGAATTAGCATCAAGGCGTTTAAAATGGCATGTAGAGAGGATACAAACCTTGCGGCGAACTATCTTCCTCCGCTCCAGGGGGTAATTGAGATAAAAGTCCTCATCCTCCGGGTCCAACCCCAAGACCCGGAAATTCTCAATAGTGACAATTGTGGGCACTTGCTCCTGGTGCTTAGGATCGGGAATTTTGTCATCTTGGAGATCCAACGGGTGCCCCATTGGCTTTGCAATAGACATGTTGACTAGATACCTCGTAAATATCTATTTGGTGATAACAGGGACTTTGGCACTTCAGTCCCTTGCTGAGGGCGAGTAAACTTGAAATATATAGATCACCATGCTTTTCCGCCATGGCATCTCCACCTTGAGTCGAAGCTCATGTCGTTCTAGTCCCCCGCGCATTGGCGCATGATAGACGCATGCTATGTCGGCTGCCAAGAGAGCTAAGAGAGTGCTCGGCTCACACACATGGACAAGTCTGGGGAAATGGAGGAGAAGCGGCGGGGGAATCCGGGGGTGGAGCGACCTTCCGCTAAGCCACATCCACGTGAACTGGCGGAAATGCAGGCTAGACCAGCTGGAAAAATATCCGCCCACCCCAATCAAAAGCTACATGTCCTAGCTCTAGGTTTTAGGCTCTTTCGTCTAGCGGAGCGGGGTCAGAGATTGTCGCGGTTGAAGAATGACACTAATTATATTATGTAGTAACATGCTCATATTTCTAGCGTGTAAATAGGTTCTATTGACCAATTTCACACAAAAACTGCCGAATCCATTTCCCGCTGTCCACCCTCAACAGGAAAGGTAATATAAGATTAAACCTTCATGCACTTCCCCCTAAGTAGCACCTTAAGTTTCCATGACGTCGGCCAGCTCGTCCTTTCGATCAGATCGGCCATACCATCTCGCCACTTGGTCCGTTTCTGTAAACCACTGACTCTGACGTTGTCCCCATCGACTGGACTTCTGTGCGGCGAGTCGCTTTGCCACCTCGTTCGCTTCATTTAAAGTGACTAGCTTCCGCTTTTCCGGTCGGCCGCTAGCCCTTTCACGGCACACGTCGCGTAAGCTCTTCTCCGGTGGGCATGAGTCGGGAAGGAAGGACTCTGGATCCACATCAACCATGTTTGCCCTCGTTATCCAGCGACCATTCCAAGATCGATCGCGAATTCGAAAGCTGGGTGGGTCCGAGGTTGTTCTAAGTGTCCAAGCGTCCTCTTCCAGCTCTAGCGGTGTGCTTCCAGTGGCATTCTCACAATAGAGTAAGTCAGGACGACGGTCCATCATCAGCTCGAGAATCCGAACGAGTTCATGTTTCACTGCGTAGTGCACAGGTGTATTACCTGTGCCATCAAGCAGTTCCAAGTGTTTCTGTCCCGTGCTTTCAGCAAACTGGAGAAGAATGCGTCCGATATCAGTCAGCCTATCTGCGTCGGATCCTTTAAAAGAGGCGTGGTGTATCCAGCGGGAAAATGGAGTGACAGATCCTGGTTCATCCGATGAACGCTCCAGTAGTAATGAAGGAACCACTCGAGGATCAAGCAAGCCAAGAAGTTTCTCTATATTGCTTGGCTTTCCTGAGGTGTCGCCATCGACTCCACACAGCAACAGATGTATGAGGTTGTTACCTCTGCTATCCCGAACTGTCTGGCTTGCACCTGCTTTTATAAGAATATCGGCATAATCTGCTCTATTCAGAGAGTACGCAAGGGCCAATGGGGTGTATCTCCCTGCGGACCTAGTCTCGAGGCACTCCGGAACCTCCCGAACAAGATACTCGACAAGGCGTCGGGATTCCAACGTCGGTGTAGAAAGAATGGCGCAATGCAAGACCAGATTGTCTGTCGCAAGTTGTGTCAGCATTCGGAGATATATAAATAAACAGAGTACGTACTTGTTGCATTTAGCCAGTTCATGAGAGATTTCTCAATGCCACTCGTTGACTTTGCTAGGAGCTTCAGCCTATGGTCCTGCTCATGAGACGCGGAAAACTCGAGATAATGTCTGCTCGGGGCAGTGCTCATGTACCATTCAGTGCTCTTCAGACTGCCCAGCACGGCTGAAACAAGTAAGGGTGAGCTTTTATTCGCGGGATTGCGCAGTTGTCCGCGCCCAGCAGCTGCCCAGTCTGCTCTCTTCTTTCCGTGGATAGAGAGCCCTTGGTAGTATTTTGGCTTTTCATGATCCTGAACGCCGCTTTCCTGGACAAGAGCATCCAATGGGAGGTCCGCTCCTGCTCTCCTGATAAGTTCTTCAAGGCAGCGGAGTCGACCCTCTGCTATAGCTAGATGAACTGTTTTATTCGCCACTCCAAAAGCGGTGAACTCAGAACTGGTGTCCATAGAAGCCAGTTCTTCTCCAATTTCAAGTAAGAAGACAAGCAACTTGACATTGTCCATCCAAATGGCATACTCGAAGAGGTCAGATGGCCTGCCAAAGGGGCTCTCGCGACATTTAGCCTTGACTTCCGGGCTGGTGAACCATTCGGACTTTGGGCAATACCACTTTAGTACCTGAAGTGGAGTAATATGGCTCTCCACCTGTGTGGCCACTTCACCTATGTCGTCTATGGTAAACTTATCATCAACAATCTCGCTGTAGATGCGAAGATTGCCACTATCCTCCAAGTCTTCACCACTGCAATCACTGCCTATCTCAAACCTCTCGTGGCCACTAGGCTCCTCTTCTTTATACTGTGCTTGAACAATTTTCAGGATTGCTTTCGCCACATCCAGGTGACCCCGAAGTGCTGCGATTGAAAAGGGGGAGAGTCTATTAGAGTCTGTTATAGCAATTCGCAATGGAGGCTGTCCATTACCGTCGCCCCACATGGCCAGTGTGAGAGACTTAATGGTGTCTAAGTCACCATGCCAAGCTGCCTCAAAACTTTACGATGTTAGTTGTCAATCAATGCCAAGGGACCGGTTACTAGGATACTCACAGTTTGATGTATCCACCCTTCCTTTCATCAGTGAGATCAGAGATATTGAATGTAAATTCCAGTTCGAAAGGGTCATCACGGTTCCTGTTTGGCGACGATGACCCATCGTCATCATTCGGTGTTTCAAAATCGGGAAACAATTCCTTGAACGTCTTGGCGCCTTTCTCGGACAGGGCAGTTTCTAACTTCTCGTATCGTTCAACTAGGTCCCGTATCGAGTGCAGCTTCGACTCGACCCCTTTCCTGTTCTGAGAATCACTGATTCTTTGTTCATATGCTTTCAGCCTTTTCTCGTATGATTTCTTTGCCTTGCTCAATTCCCGCTCCGCCGTCCACAATTGATATGTGTTAGCTTCAAAATCGTTCAGGTAGAAGGAATCAGGCTCAAGTGGCCGTGGCGCAGATAGTCCAACCACTTCGCCTTGGTATCCCTGCAATTCCTTAATCTTATCACGAACACAGTCCAAGAGAGATGTGCCATGGAGACTATCTCGCACGTAGTCATCATCTCCACTTTATATCCGTCTGGCGACAACGTGTTCGGATCAACCCCACGAGTCACTAGTTCTAGAGCCACTTCTGGTAATTCTTTCTGAACAGCTAGAATCACGGGCTGCGTAAAGTTCTGTCTGAAAATCTCACGATTCCTTTCTGATGAGTTTTTACGTATGCTGTCCAGTACCTGACCAGACTTCACAAACTCCCCAAAGTCGATCGAGGGCTCAGCACCAGCTTGGAGAAGCTTCAATGCACCGATTGGATTCTTCGTATTGATTGCGGTCATAAATGCGGAGTAGGCATTAGGGTTCCAGGAATATCCAACAAAGGCAAGGTGGTTAATCGCTTTCAGTGTGACTGGCTTGTTCTGATCGAGGAAGACATCAATAAGGTCGTCATATGTTGAGGCAGCAATGTAGTGTAATGGCGTGTTGTATTTGAGGTCAGCCTGGGCTGGTGAGGCACCCAACTGTAGAAGCTTCTTGGCCATCGCTTTGGCATTTTCTAGAGGGAGTTGAAGCGTGAGTACTAGTGGCAGAATTGCACTTCTTGCGCTGTTGTTTTGGCTGTTCAGCAACTTTATGGGGAGCAACACGTCAGCTCCGAAAGACGCGACGAGTTCTTCCACCGCGTCAACATGGCCGTTGAGTATAGCAAGGTGTAGAGGAGATGTACGGCTGTCCCAGGACACGGCATTTATATCATAGAAATCTGGTTCTTGCACATTCTCATCTTCAGGTGGACTCTCGGTGCTGGTAGCATCGTCACCTTCTTTTTGGACTTTGACAAATGATCCCGATGTATATGAGGTTGCGTCCACTTCCATACTAACTGTTTCGATGTCATCTGGCTCGGTTCGCGCTTCGTCGGCTCCATGCTGACTATCTTGGGCTACTTTTGCTTTGCGAAGCTCCTGCCTTTTATCCTCTTCGGCTTCATTTTCTTCGCTTTTTAGCAGCAGTATTCTAATAATATCAACATTGCCTCGAGCAGCTGCGATGTGCAGAGCAGTCCTGCCATCTGCCAAGCGAGGAATTAATCTCGCACCGTGATTGACAAGGCATTGTACAATATTTGGTGTTGAAGCCATACAAGCCAGATGCAGCGGGGTCCGTCCCGTATAGTCGCGACCGTTGGGATCTCTTTCTTCTTGAGAAAGCCACTCCTTGACAGCAGCAAGATCATGGTCGACTATAGCCTGGCATAGGTGCTCGGTATTGCCCACATAAGCCATCTCTGCTTTGGCGATTAGTAGATGCCACAACAGTTCAACGGAAACATAGAACACAAACCTGTCCAGTCGGTCTCTGTAATAGGGTTAAAGCTGCCAATTTCCTGGCGTCCGGGATCATCTTTAATGAATGAGATATCTCCAGAGATGTAGTTTTTGCCCTCTTTCTCTGCGACTTCCTTTTCTTCTGGAGTCACAGGTTCAGGACAAGAACCACAGCAGTCGTGGATTACATCCTCCACATTACCAAAAAATGCCGGATGCCGATGCAGATTGACGTCCCTGTCTTTTGGTCTGTTCCATTCTGCATTGAGAAGTAAGTCCTTCGTATATACCAGTCGCTCGATCCTCTTGGCATGGAACTTCGGCCCATAGGGAATCGTCTTTGAGTGGGGTCAGCAAGAGCCCTATCTGATGGGGGAAGGTATAACACACCATAGTATGATAGTCCGAATATTCATCCCCCTCCATCCACTCAGGAGTTTCATCTTCCCAATCATTTTTAATGTTACCATTCAGTGACCTGAGGTGTCGCATCTGCTGTTGTCGAGCCGGGCGGCCACGCTCCTCTCGTCTCTGCTCTAGATAGGCGTCCCTATCGGATGACTTCGGTAACCTTTCCAGCACTAGAAGACGCGCTAGGCCAACGGTCCTTGAAAAGCTCCTCTCATAGATTGTCTAGAAGCAAGTTAGACAGGAGCCACGCGCTTAGGAAAGGGGAAGCCTTACTGGATCGATACGGCTCCGCTCTAGCTGTGGACAGAATATTTCAAAGCCTCGGTGTGAATATTTGGAAAGGCGGTTCTCATAAGATGGTGAGCGTCTAGTCAAATCGATCGTATTCGTCTGGGTGATATATGCAGAAAGGGCACGTGGTGAAGCATAAACTTGCTTGCCATCGAAAGCGGCGCAGGAACAGTCAACATCGAATCCAGTCAGGATCTCCGAGATAGACTTGTATATACGAAGGACAATCTGTACGTGGCGTGTGGGGTATTGTGAGACAATAGTAATTGTGTTCTTGGTTCGTATCGTTGTCGTCTCATAAAGAATGGCGTTTTTGATCTTCTCTTCAATCTGTTTGATTTTTTCGATTGCTTGTTCTTCGGTCAAGCCATACAGGAAGAGGTCGACATCAGATGCGGGTGCGTACTTGTCATGGTAGAACTGTCGTAGGGCACGCTTTGAGCCACGGTACTCTTCCGGGACTGGCATGAGGCAAGTCACCACGGCACTTCCTGCCACGACGACATTGCTCCAGTCCATGTCGCTCAAAGATCCTTCTGAGAAGATGTTGAAATTATGCCGAAAGCCCTCTAAGCTCGACACCACCGCAGGATCACCTGAAGCCCTGCGAGATTCTGCCTTCAGGGGCATGATATATTTTTCCTGAAGGTCGGCTGACTCTGAACCCGGATCTCGAGGCCGACTTAGAACAATGGTCTTCCCACTCGTGTCATAGAGCGGCACGATATTGAGGTGATTGTCCCGCAGCGCGGGATGGGACGGCTCCTGAGCAAAAAGCTTCCGTACGACAGCTTCATACTCGTTGTATGGCTTAAGGAGCTGAGCAATTGGTGTATCCTGGTTTCTATTGATCCAGCCAATGAGATCCTGGTGTTTTGCTGGCAATGATGGAAAAGAATGTGTCGCTGCCATGATGTTCGCCGTCAGAGCCCAAAACTCGAACACGATAATATCGAAGAGGAAGAAAAATAGTATTCAAGTTGACCACAGGTTTGGAGCACCAGAAGCTATTCACAGAGGAAAAGAAAATAAATCGAGCGCATCCATTTCCACCAGCAGTTCGAAGCTTCCTTAAATCAAATTTCCAATCAACTAAAGTTTAACCCGCTCGGCGGCAGAATTGGTACCGCTCTCCAGGCATACGGCCCCACTAATTCGTCTAAATCTAGGCACTGCTAGGCAGGATAAGGCAACCTAATGGGGATCCTGTCGATCTCTCAAGCTCTCGGTTAGATGTCTGGCGCCAGCGCTGCGATCAGCTCCCCACTCCTGACGCCAACAATATGATCTCGATCTGATTCCCACAATGAAGAAAAGTATCCGACTCGTAAATTCGTAAAGGAGACATCACTGGTTATCCACAGCGGCCAAACCATATTTTTTGTCCCCCTAATGCTGGCTCTAACTCCATCCCGAGTTTCCTTGCCGTCCCCGCTGAGTCGACATAGAATTCAGCCCGGAGGCACTCAGACATAGTGGCTGTACACATTCTCGCCACGAAAAATTCCCCCGCTGTATGTTCCAAATGGATGGTCATCGCTTCCACTCGGTCGCTTAGGTCCGCCTGCAATTGTCCATCTTCAACCCTCAGTGCAATGATACCATACCCCGGATGGCTATAGATTCCAGTATACGCATGCAATGGGAGGGAGTGGGGAAGTACCCTGGCAGGCAGAGAAGGGAATAATCGTTTCTTTGTCTCGCAGATGCTTTCGGATCTTTTTTCCATGATGTCGGACATCCTCTTCGTCATATGTTGGACAAACTGTTCCCGCTCACTACCCGACACTCCCAGTAATGTATCGATGAGGTATAGATATAACTCCAACTGCGCGTTTCTAGCCTTTTGAGTATTCCCCATTATTGCAAACCCAAACTGCTTCTCAGCTATGAAGCCCACCATGATTCCGAATCCAGCCCAGCTTCCGCTATGCCAGTATAATTGTTGACCCCGATAAGTGTCCACAAACCAGCCTAGAGCGTACAAGTGATAAGGTGCGGGTGGGTATACAGTATCGTTATCATCTTTGGAGACTACGGTCCGGGGATGAATGATCGATGCATGTCCTTCTGGCGATATTGGTGCTGTTTTGTATATCATGGCCCGTAACCATTTTGCGTAATCAAGAACATTGCTAACCATGGCCCCTGTTCCAGTCGTGGGTGCATATTTCATATGTGGCTCAGCCACATAGCAGCCCTTTTCTGGAACCCACGTGTAGCCTTGGACCAACTTTGGACTAGTTAATGGACATTTTTTGACATCCTGGACAGAAAAGTACGTGTCCTTCATATTAAGTGGCTCCAGACGCGCTTTCGTAGGAACTCGCCCAGTGATTCGCCTGTGATTTGCTCCAAGACATGAGACACTACCATAAACATATGGTTGCAATAGTCGAATGTTGTTCGCGGTGGATACGCCAGCGGAAGGTGTCTGATTTTCCGGACCGCTTCACGCAATGTTTCGTCCGGATATGCGCCTGTCATCGCAAATATATGACCTGGTAAGCCAGATCGATGTGACAGAGCATCTTCCAGTGTAGTGTTCATTGTGGCATTGCCGTCAGCCAGAACAAAATCATCTCGAATTAAGGATGCTATTGGCGTATCCCATCTGAGAGGTGAGGGGGTCTCTTTTCTGTCATCCATTACCATGGATACCGCAGCAGCAGTGAAGGCTTTGGTGGTGCTGCAAGTGGTGAATAGAGAGTCAACAGTCATCTTCTTGTCTGGGAATTCTGCAATGCCATAGGCCTGTGTCACTCAGTACAAATTCATGTGGCCGCTTCATCATTCACGTACTTTCGCATAAGTGCTCGAGCCGTGAACCACGGAGATTGTAATGCCGGGCACCTTCCATTTCTCCAACTGCTTCTTTACTAGGGAGTCAAATTCCAGCGTAAAGGGTGAGGGAGACTGTCGTATGGTCATGATGTTACGTAGAACTGCAAGTTAGGTGGTAGTGCTTTTCCTGTGCGGAGAAGAGGACAGACGTGGAATTTAGGTAAACGGCCCGGCATACCGCTACATAATCGTGTAGGTATAGCGCGCGAACCACCTGACTAGGCGGCTACATCTTTCGCTTATCTGCGGGGGCATTGCAAGCTACTAGTAGTAAGGTTGGCACGAACATAAGCACTAACAACATTAGCTTGGCATGCACAGTCATTTCATATGAATTCTATAGTACACCTTCGTCATCTGCTCTGCTGTGAGTAGCGTAGCAGAAGGACACGATCATGCTTCTAGATTATATTCTGATAGTCTATGAGATAAATACACGCCGTACACCATAGAGATCAAATCCTCATATGCATGCTTCCTCTCTCCGTCGAAGACCTTGTCCCCAAACGCTCTTCAACGCACGTTTCAAATCATCTCTCCGTCCGCTGTAGGATGCTTTCATGTCGCCTTGGCCGACATCAAGCTTCATCGTTTTGAAAAAAGTCTCATCAAGAGTATCAACTTGTGCATCCCATTCTGCATTCGCCCTCGTTGACCATGAAAGCTCCCTGGACACCCGTGGTTTAGCAGGTCTGGAATTGTTCAGGCGTATGAGTAAATCATCAAGGCCGGCCCGTAGCTGTCCCTGGTCTTCTACAATTTCAGATACCAGCCCTAGTGACTTCAGCTTGTCCGCCGTGGTGGAATGAGTGGAGAAACTGCGTTGCGTATAAAAGCGCTCTTCCACTTCGAGCTAGAATTCCTAGCTTCTTTAAATGTCGCCTCGGTATATGTCAATGTTGCTGCCCTAAGGCTAATCCTGACATCACAAGCAAGTGCTAACTCGACACCGCCGCCGAAAGCGTGACCATTTATGCATGCAACTGTCGTTTTGGGTGAACATCTCATCAATTCCAGTAAGGCAGCAAGATGCTTTACCCGGGGATTTCTTGAAGCACCCTGGGCAATGAATGGCATAGTCTTTCCAATTTCCATACCCATGCAGAAGTATCCCCCGGTTGCAGTGATGATAATGTTCAAGAGGGAAGGGTCCTTGTTGCAACTTGCGATGATAGCTATAAGGTCCGCGACCATCTTCTGCGTCAACGTGTTGCCCCTTTTCGGTCGATTGAGTACAATCTTAAAATTGCCACCCGAGCGATATGTTAGTAGCCTGCCCTTGGTGTTCACTGGGGACCAAGAAATTACTGCCTTGGTCTGTGTGTGGTCCGTATGGCGCGGTGGACACACTAGTCCGTGTGTGTTTGCGAGCGCTATTCCAGCTCGACTTGCATTCTCTCTTGACAGTCTTGTGGATATCCACAGGCCAGTTTCCACCAGCTTGAGCATGTCAAGGCCAGTGTCAATCCCCGCATTGTGAAACATATAAACTAGGTCTTCTGTGGCAACATTTCCCTTGGCGCCCGGTGCATAGGGGCAACCTCCCAGGCCGCTGATACTGCTATCAAACACACGAAGTCCACAATTATATGCTTCCCAAGTGTTGGCTACAGCTTGGCCGTACGTATCGTGGAAATGGCCCGCCAGCAAATCGAGAGATACGTCATGTTCCTCCAGATACACCAGAAGACTTCGTACTTTATCGGGGCAGCCGACACCCAGTGTGTCTCCAAGGCTAACCTCATAACATCCCATCTCGAGCAGCTCTCTCACGCAGTGAAGCACTGCGGATGGCGCCGTTGGGCCGTCAAAAGGATCGGAGAATATGCATGATACATATCTTCACAAAACGTCAGCCACGACTTCTCATGCCTCCAGTGACACAAACTTACCCCCTGACAGCCAGGCCACAGCTGGTAGCCTTCTCTGCAATATTCCTCGCTCTTTCTAAGCCCTCCTTCACAGTACAGTTGACGTTGGCCTTACTGAACCCTTCCGTGGCGCTGATAAAGACCGCAACCTCCTTAACACCGTATTCGAGTGCAATATCCAGACCCTTCATATTGGGAACTAACACTGGAAGACGAATATTAGGTTCCTTCCGCAGTGACTTGATATCTTCCATGCGCAGCACATCTCGACAATCCGATAACTGTGGAACCGCTCGAGGGGAGACTACCGACGTCAACTCGATGGTTTGCAGACCCGTTCCGCGGAGTCGTCGGATTAACTCGATCTTTACTGACGTTGGCACATGGTCTTTGATATTTTGTAGGCCGTCCCGCGGTCCTACTTCCACGATACGCACGGCGCCTCTAGGGTCTTTCATTGCGGGTGCGGCATTCGGGCGAACTAGCGAGCGAATGGGGCCGTGAGTGTCGTGAAACTCCAGCACCATACCATTTCGTAACAGTTGCCTCGCAAAATCAAATTCAGAAAAGTTTCCTTCGGGGCGTGAAGATAATACTTATACTGGATGTCAGCATTCGGCAGTGCGGATGTTCTGGCCCGACAAAATGTCCCCGCAAGCAGGTAGATGACGACATCCCGGGCGCCTTACCCCGTATTATCCTAGTCTGTCGTCGCACCTCGGAGTGGCGGATCAATTGAATGTCACCCTACGATCGCCGAGGCTCGAGGCTGCCGAACGTTCTAGTTCTTTACCTCTACCACAGTTTCACTCTCTGACTGTGCTGACTCTGTCTGACCATGCGTTTTTCTGGCAGGACTTATCAACGACTTGTCGACAAATCAAGTGACGTCTTCTCCCCATCCTTTTGTTGAATGTAACATTTGAGAATCTTTGAGTTTAAGCATCGGGCTTCGGGGGGAAGTACCCGTGACGTGATTGCTTAGTCTGGTGCGGCGCAGGGACCATTTTCGTTTCCCGTGGATTTCACATTGATTGAAATGACATTCTCCTCCTTTTGGATTCGTCTCCGGGATACATCATTTCACGCTTGTCCGACGGCCAACATAGTTGATATATTCCTTTTCGCTCCGATCACAACAGGTACCAGATCTAAGCATGCTATTGGTAACTTTGCCTACTGTATCTTGCACGAAAATTCGATCACCAAGACATCCGCACTCCTACAATGTCGGTAGGCTTTGGTGTCATAGGCCCTGTCAAGTAAGCAATCCCCACATCGACAAGGAGGCAATGCAAGATATCACCAGCGATTGAGATCTACAGCACAATCTGTACCACGAAAATCACAACGCGCACTCGCATTATATCCCGTGCTGATCAGTCACCCGCACGGCTGCAAACCCAAGGTACTGCGGACGAAATATCTCGCTGTCGATTCGGGAACATCTAACCTGAGTCCAGACGACAGAAATTGTTAGAATGCATTCTACTCGCTAATAAGACAATGGTGATGTTGTGAGATACTTCATCCAAGAGACGATTGTGTCTTTTTGAGTCCATGTAAGATGTATGGGTAGCCAGTCGTCAGGGTATTGATAATCACATTAGCAGTAAGGGATAAGGAATAAAATGCCATTGCTGTCGTAAGATTCTCTATAAGGTTAGCTTATGGACAGCTATGGAGGGGAAGGAGACAGAGGTAGCTACCCATTATTACTACGTAGATTGACTCCTGTAGGTGGGATAGCTAATAACAGAAACAGAGGTAAATTGAAGATGAAAAGAATGATACAGATTGAAGGAAATAATGAAAATAATTACCCCTCTCTGCCAGTATCCGTCAGAAGGTACTGTGAGATCACTAGCAGATGTTCCCAGGAAAAATTCCGGGGCCCAGGGACTTTATTACTATGATCGTCTCTGCCCTTACACACCCTTTCCCAGGTCGCTGGAAATGGGGGTCAAGTGACGGATTCGACGGGAGACCTCCTGGTACAGTGGTCGTAGTTTTGTAAGACAGTGTTGACCACTGTACCATCCGGGTCTCTATTGTCATACGCGTTGTTCCCTCAAAACACAAGAAAGACTGTTTACCCGATTAGGAAGGTGTGGGTGCCTAGGGAAGAGGGCTGCAAATGCGGCCTTCTTGGAGACAGATCCTCGCTCAACACTATGTCTCAACATTGGAGCGCTTTTGTTTCAAGTTGGGATTCGAGTAGGTTTTGATAAGTAGTATGAGGTGGTTTCCGGGAAGTGGAATGTATATGTAATGTTGCAACAGGAGCATCGACCATTAGTGAGACATTACCCTCTCGAAAGGCCTTAGTGGTCTTGTCTACTATTTATTGTATAAACAGATATAAGGGGATCAATCGGATAGGACCTGAGGGTAGCAGTGTAATGCCCTTATCGACTATGTAATGCTTCCTGGGACTCAACGTCAGCTCCCATACACTTGGTCTATATCCCCAAGCCACAGCAAAGCCAGAGTATATACACATTATGGGGATTTATCCTCTATAAGGCTAAAGAACTGACAACTTTTGAGAGATATAGGGCACAGGGCTAGGGTTGGATCACATGTCACTATTCCCGATGGGGCGAACCTTGAGAGATGCGGCCTGAAAGCCTCGGCCATGACGGTGAATGCAGAACTCCACATTTTACTCCAGGTTTGTTGTGGAGATCTTTGTACTGCGTAGTATCCATTCACTACTAGTGTCTCTTGGCTTAGTTAGTTATTGGGAGTTTTCTGCCGAGCTACGCCTTCGCATTGGTCATCTCGCTAAAGTCCTCCATGACAAGAAGCACCGCTACTGGAACCAATGCGCTAGTAACTGCCTCCAGCTAGTGCTCGATATGTGACTGGCTACTAGTGCATCCCTCCTTCCCCAGTTTGCCTCGCGTGAGGTCTCTGCTAGTAAACAGCTCGTATCTGTTTGTTCCTGATCCTTTGGTTCCGATTGTTCCGGGCAGAGCATATAAATACTGGTTAATTTCCCCATTCTCACCTGTCACTCAGACGAGGAATCGCCCAAAATCTGAGATCTGCGCATTGTTGCCTTTGGCATATTCAGAGACAAGATGCAGCTGCAGATTCTCGCCGGTTTCCTACTTCTCGGCTCGCCAGCTCTGGCAGCTCCGACCGCTACAGGTCCTCCAACTACAAGCTCACTGGGACCTCTGCGCGCCTTGAACTACAATAACCTCGGCCCTCAGAACAATGGGACTGCAGCAGTACTCGTATACGACGAATTGTCTCAGACAGAGGCACAAGCACGTTGTGCAGCCATTGGGGAGAATCTCTACCCACTCGAGTCTGCCCCTCAGTCTGAGCGTTCTGAGATAGACTACCAGCTGGCCTACCTCGCTTTTTCAGGAGATATTCATCCAGATAGCCGTTTCTGGGTAGCTACTGGTGGTTCATCGAAAGAGTGTCAAGCGTACTCTCAAGGACAAAAGCGGCTGGTATCGGCATCGTGCAGCTCCAAGCTCCCCGTCATTTGCACATCTAGTGTCCCGCCAACCACCGACAAAGATAGAACTGCCGTCGCCTCATCCAAGATCACCGTCAAAGCAGAGAACTACACCCTGACGGGATATCGCGACGCACGATCGTTTCGGTTCCTTGGTGTGCCTTTCGCAGATGCCCCGGTGAACGAGTTGCGCTTCGCTCCTCCAAAACCTTTCTCTGGTCCTAAGAAACTCGATGCAACCAAAGTGGCCGATAGCTGTATCCAAGCACTGTCGGCCTTTGGAACGCTGGGCAATGGAGACATTTCCGAAGACTGTCTTTACCTCAATGTTTTTACACCCATCTTGCCTGCAGGTTCCAACGATAACTCAACCCGCAAGCCTGTCGCCGTGTATTTCTACGGCGGTGCATTCGTCAGTGGCAGCGCGTCTATGATTGACTACGACGGTGGAAACTTCGCCAGTCGTAACGATGTCGTGGTCGTCACGGTCAACTATCGAGTAGGAGCACTGGGCTGGTTGACCACTGGCAACCTCACAACCGGAAACTACGGGATAAGAGACCAGATCCTCGCACTGAAATGGGTCAACAGACATATCGCAGCATTCGGTGGAGATCCATCCAAGGTGACCATCTTCGGGCAGTCCGCCGGCGGCCAGAGCGTTGTCGCACTGCTGTCCTCAACCGCCGCGCGAGGTCTTTTCTCCGGAGCCATCGCTCAATCAGCACCGGTAGACTTGCCCTGGTTCACGCGCGATATCTACGCGGACGTCATTGTGCCAGAACTATCCAAGGCCGTCGGCTGCAACCAGACCACGTCTGAGAAGGAGCTCTTGTCTTGCCTGCGATCCGTCCCTGAAACCAAATTCATCAGCAACACCACAGAATTCCAACAGGCACAGGCGGCTTGGACCCAGACCCTCGCCTCGGACTACCTCCACGTCAGCCAGCTCCTCGCCGCCATTGAGCCGCTCATGCCCATAGTGGACCCTCGCGGAGGGGTAATCGACGACCAATTCCACAAACTCCTCGCAAGCGAACGCCTCCCCAATCGCGTCCCGACCATGTTCACAACGGTCACCGACGAAGCCTCCCTCTACGTGGCGAAAACGGTGCCAGACCTCGGCGCAAGTCAAACAGCACTCAACGCGGTGCTCAAGGCCGCCTTCCCCGCCAAACTGGCCGAATCGCTCATCAAATCCAACGCCTTCCCTATCAACATGTCAGACCCAGACAGCACGCGCAATGTCGCCGCCGACGCTCTAACCCACAGCGAATGGAGCTGCGCACAGTCCTACCTCCTCCGCAAAGGCGGCGACCGCGTCTTCCCCCAGCTCTACGAAGTCGAGCTCACCAGAGGCCACATCCAGACCAACGTCTCTGTGCCCGAGATCTGCTCCCCAAACAACAACTACAATGCCAGCTGCCACGCCTCAGACGTGCTCCCCGTCTGGGGAACCCTCAACAGCAAGACCCGCAACGTAGACCCCTACTACGATCAGGATGACATCCTCCATTCGCAGCTGCTCAATGATGTCTTCGGCTCATTCTTCCGCTCTCGCAACCCGAACCCGGACCAGGCCTTCTTGCAGGTCCGTGGCCCAGCCTATGCGTCTACGTATGATATCTTCGTGACGAACGGGTACCGGGTGCCTGAGTATCGGCCTGAGCAGCGGAATGTCAGTTTGTTGGGCATGCCGCCGTCTTGGATTGATAATCCCGGTCTGTCGAGGAAGTGTGCTGTCTTTGAGGATTACGGGTTTACGTTTCAGAATGCCAACTTTACGGCTTAATGCTTAATACTCACATATGGAGGAGATGGATGGTATGAGGTTAATGAGGTGAGATAACGATTGTAGATGTTAATGTAGTATACGCACTAGGAATCTTATATGATTCATTAATGCATTAATGCATACCGTTGACTGAAAAGAGGCGAGATTCTAATCTCTAGTCTGTCGTAAGTCGTAATCGTGATATCTGAAGCTCACGCAAGTCATGCTTGAAAAATGCAAAAACAGCCTCCCAGAAACAGAAACAAAATGTGATCACCGAAATAGCCTTCCCATCGTCATATCAATTCAAGATTCCATGCATCATTATCATCATCAATCGTATTTCGTAAAGTGGAGCCGGACCAACTGAGGGCCGAATCCCAGACCTTTGATGGCAGGGTTGCAAGCCCAAGTCTGCGGCGTTCAAATAGTAGTCCGACTAGTGTTAGTCGGGTAAGCTGTCGTTAGTAAGACTGTCAGTATTTGATAAGCTTCTACTTAATCAAATCAAACACTCATCATTACTGTCGCGTTGCGATGTTCGATTTTGTACCTTGTTAGCGATCATACATGGTTGTTCTCCTGCCTCGGGCATATTCGACGTCTGCCGGTTGAACGGGCACGCCTCTCTTTGAAGGGCTCTGGACGGGTGCCGCCCACCTAGGGTTCCGGGGATCGATATAGCGCGCGCGCTCGGCCGTACAGGTACTGTTTCCGTTTGAGTTGGCATTAGTGGGTCGGTGATAGCTATTACGTCGGTCGCTCATTGGCTCAAGGTCTGGATGGGGATGGACGATGTAGGTATCACCAGCGCCGACGTAGCGGGAATGCATGCGGGTAAATACGGGCACTTCGCGGCCAGGTGGGAAAGTGGGCGGCGGGTCGCTGACGACGCGCTCGCGAAATCCAACGCCTGATGCTCTTTGCTGGAGCGGCTCATCGTTGTATGCTTTCGAGATACGTATTCTTCGCGCCCCATCGGAGTCGTATAATCTTCCTGGATTGGAGTGATGTGTATCGGGGTGGGCGGGAGGTTTGTGGGGATCAGGCGATAAATCCTTTCGAGGTCGGCGGGCGTATGCTTCGTGCGAGTGGCGACGCGTATGGGACACTCGCGGCGGCGATAGATTGCGAGGGTAGCTGTATCGATCTGACCTTGGAGGCTCTGGTACTGCTGATCCCGAATCTTCGGAAGATGCATCTGATCCTCCATACCCTGGTACTGTTCCTGGGCTCACAGATCGCCCGTAAGCCTGTTGGCGCTCGCGCGTCCGCGACTTGGTGGGCTCTTTCGCCCACATTGGTGGCGATGATGGTCGAGATGAATACCCGGTGTTGAGGTTTTCAGATTGTCGCGGAAAGTATGTAGATTGTACCCTGCGAGTAGTGGAGGGGGGCTTTTCGTCGCTTCGTCGGTGACGGTGTTTATGGGGGTTTCGACGCTCACTCGCGGAAGTAGGCTCTTGACGGTGAGGGGTAGTTCGACGCTGACTCCGAGGTGGTTCGTCTTCTTTATGGGTCGGTACATCCTTTTGGCTGAAGTACGAATGGTAAGGAGCGAAATTTGGAGGGGAGGAACGCATGATATTCTTCTTCCAGTAGTCAAGCTCAAACCGTCGGCTGACCTCTTCATGCCATTGTACCATTTCCGGATCAGGTTCCGCTGGGAAGGCTCCTCTAGGGATCACCTTGGGGAAAATTCCACCATTTGGAGTCTCAATGTCCCATAGATCAACCGCATTCTGTAACCACCTCGAGTGCTCATCGGGGTCGAGAAGAAGCTGAATTGTTTGCCATCGCACAAAGCCATTGGGCTGTAGAGCGGGGATAGAGGGTGGTTTGTAGGGATCATTGGTAGGCTGAATGCTGTGGAAGCATCCTAGGCGCTGGTATATGAACGAAAGAGCGGAAGGTCTCGTTTGGAGGAATAGGACGTCGTAATTACCGCCAACTTTTCGGTAAAACGCTGCCAGGCGGTCGGGAGTCAGGTCCGTTGTCGCGAACTCGTCGAAGGAAGTCTGGACAGAGTTCAGCATTTGAGGCATTGTGCCACCTTCCGCGAACGCGAGGAACTCTCTTTTTCCACTTACCATTACCTGCGCAATTCCCAAGCACAGTTGTTCGAGTAACGGGGTGGGGCTCTTGTCGGCGTTAATCAACACCCCCCAAAAATCAGCGCCCTCATTGTGGATGGAGGACATGGCCGAGCAAGAGTCTGGGCTGCGGCGAAGACATTTGAAAACAGCGACCGCGATCGTTGCATTAATGAAGCCGGAATGACAAGACGAATGCAGCTGGAAAGGCGGGCAGAGTAATACTGCAGCGGTCGATAGGTGCATCCAGTCATGGACAGGAACAGGCCACACTCGGCGGTTAGGCACCCATCGTCATCGCTCCACTGTGGGGGAGCCCAAATGATGATGCTGTTTGTTGGCAGGCGGTCAGCCCGATCCGCCTCATTTACGAGGGAAAGACGAATCAGGAGGTAGACGAAAATGGAACCTGAGGGATGGAAGGTTGCAAGATGCAGCAGCTTACCTGCAGGAAACCCTTTTGGTCCCATTTCGTGGCAGGGATATTGCCCAGAGTGCCTGGGTGCCTGAGCAGGTGAACAAACAAAACCCCGCATGTGCCTGAGGAGCATGGCCAACAATGCCACCAGTCAAGTGCATAGTATTCTCTCCGGGCACTTTTGGCCCAAGAAACATAAAAAAATTCTAAGGAGAAATTTTAGTTTCTGAGTAGGGTTAATATTGGATAATTCTCAAGTCGTAGTGATTTACCCTTTTGAGCATTATGTAATAGCTGCAAGCCTTAGTAGCAAATATCCATTGAACAACAAGTTATATATTGTATGTTGTTGTTATTGTATACTTCTGGTCCTTGCTACCTCTTGCTCGCTCTTAAAGCTTTATTACACCTAGTTCTTTGTTTAAAATGGGAAGCTTCATTTGTAGCTCGATCGAGTGTTATTTTTATTTTTTATTTTTCCATTTTCCTTTTTCCCCTTTGTGTTCGCTATGTTGAATTTTGTCAATTCGGTTGTGATACCATGGCTTTTAGGTGACACTCAGCGGCAACGATAAGATATGCTATGTGCACTACTGTCTCCTGCCTGATCAGGAGAGCATTCTTCGTTTAAAAACAAATTACATACGTAGGATTTCCGCATTCAGGAAACTCTGAGCTTGATTACATGACTCGAGTTTAAGAATTAACAAGGAAGGATGGGAAGCCACATCATCCCGCCATAGTTCAGTGAAAAATGCAAAACAACTTGGATATATATTAGTCCCATGAATGTTGACCTGACTGTCTTGAGATGACCCGAACCAGTCGCACGTAGTAAAGGGGGAAGAAGACTTCGCATGTAAGTGTGTTGTGAAGGCCGACTTCGTACTCCGTCCAAGTTACTCCCTTAGAATACATATTGATCGATGAGGCGCATTTCTGGAGATCTTGAATACACAAAAATCTCTACCTGTACTATAATACCTCGTGCAGATCAATTCTTAGAGAGTTGTTAGAACTTGAGTTTATTTTCTTGGGCTCTAATTAAAGGGGCTTTCAACCAACCGTCCGAGATGCTTCTATATTAATTAACGCCTTCTAGTCTACTCTGGATGGGACGGTTAAGTGATCTACATCATAGTTGACTATCATGTCACCGAGAAACCTCGCTAAAATCCGCAGTTGATGAAACTAGTTCCAGACCACCCCATCAAGTTGTATGGCATAGACAAACAACGGGATGCTTGTTGAAGCCGGAGAGTTATGATTGGTCAGCGTGCCGCCGATCTGAGATTCTACAGCGGGCCTTCGGCCGTCCTGTCATTCCAGTGGGCCTGCATCTGGAATGCGAAGCCCCAATCTGCTACATTCAATCCGATGGAAGAATGAACAAATATGGCTGAGGGCACAACACTGTTGCTGGGGCGTGTGCACCCCTTGTCTCCTTTTCAATTCTCTGTTTCTTTGTCTGTGTGCTCCTCGAGTCTCATTACCTCCCGGGACACAGCTTGACATGTCTTTACTACTCGCAGATTGATCGAACAAAGACTCGGTTTTTAACCTGTCAAGCCGTTTGTTGAGATTATTTTAATTTCTGCCCTTAATTACTCTCCCCTGCCGGGAAATAGGAGAGAGAGAGAGTTGGTAACACAAGCCAACTGTACCAAAAGCAATTTACTACACGCGAGAATCACCTCGATCAACTCTATATTTACAACAAAACCCCTCTATCACCAAAGAACTACATCTCTCGAGTACACCAACACATCCCATTCCAAGGGCCGATTGTAAACGGTTCCTATGTCTTCCAACGCGTAAACAATAAACCCCACAGAATGGCTCTTGTTCGAGACCCAGCGTTTTGGAGGCGCTTCTCACGCGCCATCCACCTAGATGAGGAAGCAAAAGCTTCAAAGACGGAAAATAAGAGCGGTGTTATCTACTCGTAAGGCCAACTGACCCTATTTCCAGCCTTTCTGCTTAGGGGCAACGATGTCTCGGTTTCCAGATTATGTTCACTAACAGTTGAACCCAGGGATGACTGGATTCTGAAGCAACGAAAGAAACGACGTCGATGGATCTGTTGTGGCTTCTTGATATTTGCAGCGTTTGCTATAGTGGTTGCTGGTGTGGTGGTGGTTTTTTGGTGGTTCCATTCTCACAACTGGTTGCGCAAGTCATAACATGCCAGGAGGACCGACACTGGCGGTATATCAATTTGAATTTGTGTCACCATTGCCTGGCGCATGCTCACCAATACAGGTCCCGATTTTATGTGGATACGCGGGCGTCGTCCACAACGGGCAACCCACGATAACCTGGCATGGTGATGCTGAAGACCACGCGATAAGGAAGCGGCATAGAACCGCAACACTATCATTCATTTCGCCGAGCTCTTGCAAACCGACAAACTTTCATCGAGGTTCGAGTTATCATTGAGCAGGTCTCATGGGCGGTTTTTTGACTTTGAAGGCGTTGAAGGTTCAGACTTAATAGGAAATACCCAGGATGTTTCGATTCCATGATGTCACAAATGCTTCGCCTTGACCTGTTTTACTTTCTCACTGAACATGTGTGATATAGCTGGATTTAATGTATTTTCCATGATGCGATGTATGCGTTTTCGCTGGCCTTGGCTGCCTATTGGTCAGGCACAACTTCGACATCGCTTAGTCGAGGAGTGGATGAACAGTGTGGGTTCAGCCAATCAGAGGTCATGGTACGGATCATATTTATTCTGCAACGGAGGACAGATAAGAAGAGTACATACATAGGGTAGAGTAGAGTGCAAAGCGCTCGTCTGGTACAGTTGCAGTGTCCGCATGGACTTGCCTGAAAGGGTTGACTCGATATCCGGTAGTCGGCACAATATCGGTCACGTGAGGTCATACTTCAGACGCTCAAGTCCTATCTATCCCTGCTTTTGCAGCCATATCAATCGTGAATAATGCGATCACAGAGCAAATCATGCATAGCAGACCTAAACGATAAGTATCTTCTTTACAAAGTGCTGTATGGGAGGTAAGCCATAGCTTTATGGAGCTTGGGGGTGCCTTAATAGCTCACATCTCCGGTAGCGCTTATCAGCGGGTCCTATCGCAGTTCTCTCCGCATCTCGTTCCCCCCGCAATAAATAGAGCTCCAATTCCGCTTCGTGTTGCATTCCCCTGATTTCCTAAGGTATTCTCTTCCCCTGTAGGACTCTCCTCAGGCAAGCCTACCATTCACGATGCTTCCGCCGTTTGACTATTTTACATATCGTAGCGTTCGGTAAGTCACCACTGTCTATTCCGCTCCACTCTCTTTGCGGAGCTATAGTGTATAGCTACCTATTCGGCGATCAAGAACCAATTAACAGTCCGCAGGGATTACAAGAGAAGGGAACGGGCTGCCCGTTTCGCATCTCTCCCCGCAGCATACCATGCCCCTTTCACAACCTTTGATAAGGCCGTCATCAACAAACCAATTGAAGAGCTGGTTCAGGAGGTCCAATCCTCCTCGCTTTCGGCCGCCGACGTGCTCCAGACTTACGGCAAGGTAGCCGTCAAGGCCCACGAAAAGACCAACTGTGTAACAGAGCTCCTTCTTCCTGAAGCCGAGTCATGGCTACAGTCAGAAGTCAACCTCAAGGGCCCGTTGGCAGGTGTACCTGTTTCCTTGAAAGATTCAGTGCAAGTCAAGGGTTTCGATATCAGTCTCGGTTACACACGGCTGGCTAAAAAGCCATACAGCGAAGATGGCCCTATGGCAAAGCTGTTGAAGGACGCTGGTTAGTGTTGCACACCTTGTACACGGATAGGCGTCTTCTTACCTCTTTTAGGTGCTGTACCGTATGTAAAGACGGCACTGCCAATTACCCTTCTGTCCTTTGAGTCTGCAAATGCACTGTGGGGCCACTGCCGTAACCCCCATGTCCCAGAGTACTCCCCTGGAGGTTCGACTGGTGGTGAAGGCGCGATACTCGCCCTGGGTGGCCGTATCGGCATTGGCTCAGACGTCGCAGGCTCTGTTCGTGTCCCTGCTGCCTGGAGCGGTATCTATTCCCTGCGCTGCAGTACTGGTCGCTGGCCCAAGGTGGGGGTCAACACCAGCATGGCCGGCCAAGAAGGCGTTCCAAGTGTTTTCAGTCCTATGGCTCGTACATTGAACGACCTCACCTACTTCACCAAGGCCATCGTTGGCATGAAGCCCTGGAAGTACGACTATACCGTTCATCCCATTTCCTGGCGCGATGAAGAGGAGTCCGAAGCCAAGAGCAAGAGATTGCGTATTGGGCTGATGACCAACGATGGTGAGAACACCTAACCCCTCGCTGAATAGCTCTCTCTTTCTAACTCTCCGCAGGAGTCGTGCCCCACCCAGCAATTGAGCGAGCTCTGTCTACCACCGTCGCTGCTCTCACCGCAGCGGGCCACACCGTCTCCGAGATCACAACCCCAGCAACCGCCGACCCCTTCACAGGTCTCCACCTCGCGTCTCAGCTTCTCAACACAGACGGCTGCGTCACATTCAACTCCCACCGGTACAACTTCGAGCCCTCTGACCCAGGCGCTGACCAACTCACCCGCATCTGCAACCTTCCCCGTCCCCTCCGCTACCTGTACTACCTGTACGTCCGGTACATCAGACGGGACTTCAAATGGGCCAGCCTGATCCGCACATTCTCTCCCAAGTCCTCCGCCGAAACCTGGAAGCTAGTGGCCAAGCGCGAGTCATTCCGCGCTACCTGGCATGCCTGGTGGGATGCCGAGCCCCAACAGTACGACTTCATCCTCTGCCCCGTCAACGCCACCCCAGCCCTCCCGCATAAGGCCATGAGCGACGCCGTCTCCTCTTGCGGGTACACCTTCCTGTGGAACCTTCTGGACTACACGGCCGGTGTGCTCCCTGTCTCCCACGTCGACGCCAAGCGGGACGCGCTCACAGCGCCCTACAAGAAGATCCTCAAGGGCCTGGGCGCCAACAATGCCATTGCAAAGGGCGCCTGGAAGCACTACGACGCGGCGAAGATGGCCGGACTCCCCACGGCGGTGCAAGTTGTCGGCAGAAGAT